TGTAAGCAATATTAGGGCTGCGTACACATCAGGGTGCACATGGATGTAACAGGTCTGATTTTTCCATGTGCACTTTTGTGCATGTTCATCCGCACATGAGCACTTTCAGTTGAACTCTATCTGAGAGTTTCCCATGCCATGGGCAGTACTTGGTGGGATATATTCAAGCTGTGTGTTGTTGTCCCCTCTCCTGAGTTAGTGCTTCCCCACCTTCCCTCAGTTCCAGAAATCTGAGAACCATTATAGGCATGCACAGAGAAGATTGCTTACCTGCACCCCCCTTTTAAATTATTTTTGAGATACAGGATTTGCAATGTACCAGATTTCACAAATTAGTGGGTTAAAAATAATTTTTAAACATATGTGCTTGAATGTGCATGGGCATTTGATGAAATCTGAGGCCAGAGGAGTTGCTGGATAAGATTTCAAGTGTCCATCACAACTCCTTCTGCCTTTCCAGAAGCAGACTATTTAAAAGAGAATAAGTTACACAAAATATGTGAAATTGTATCAATTATCTTAATTTACATTACTTGCACAGATTGTGGAATTGTTGCATAAGCTGTTGGAGGTGTTTTGTTTTGTTTTGTTTTTGTTCTTTTAGTTACAGAGTACACGGCACCCTTACAGCAGCGTTGGGTCCCATACCTCCTTCCTAGCGTTCACTTGACCTTTTGTAGGAAATGTCCCCCATGCAGAGTCATTGACTGATATTTATAGGCAAGCATGGAAGAGAAGAAACATATGATCCTGACCTCATTACCTGCAATTGACCTGGAAGGAAAGAGAATCGCATCTTCCTCAGTTTTCACTCACAGTGTATATCTGGCAATATAGTCCATCAGTTTCCTGCTAAACATCAGTTTAGGAGACATTAGGAGATGAATAGCAAAGAGCAAGAATTTGCATGGATTTGGTTATTAGGATATAATCACCCATTGGTTTATCAAGAAGGCAGATTATTACTGAGAAGCTCAGTCTTGATACCATTTTAAGTACACCCCTATGCACTTTGATGGGACGCGGGTGGCGCTGTGGGTTAAACCACAGAGCCTAGGACTTGCCGATCAGAAGGTTGGCGGTTCAAATCCCCACGACAGGGTGAGCTCCCGTTGCTCGGTCCCTGCTCCTGCCCACCTAGCAGTTCGAAAGCACGTCAAAGTGCAAGTAGATAAATAGGTACCGCTCCGGTGGGAAGATAAACGGTGTTTCTGTGCACTGCTCTGGTTCGCCAGAAGCGTCTTAGTCATGCTGGCCACATGACCCGGAACAACTGTCTGTGGACAAACGTCGGCTCCCTCGGCCAATAAAGTGAGATGAGCGCCGCAATCCCAGAGTTGGCCACGACTGGACCTAATGGTCAGGGGTCCCTTTTTTACCTTTTATGCACTTTGACTCTAAGAAGCATTGTTCAAAAAGGGCTTTTTCTAGAGGAAGTAGTACCCTTAAACAGGAAGTGTGTTTGCTTACCCTCAATGCTATATGTCAACCCCAATCCACATCTGATTATGATAGCTGTAACCCCCATTCCGACCTACTGTATTTGTATAGTTAACACTGCCCATCTGAAGCACATGTTCTGCACATGCAACAATCCTGCCCTAAGTCTTTACCTGGTGTAACACTGAAAGCCTCTGTTCTCTCACCATTACCCTCCAAGCCTGTCTCTCTGGAGGGACGCAGAAAAAGGCCTTGGATGGACACCCAAGTGTCCAGGAAGGTTCATATTAGAAGAAGCATTCCAGAAGATATTGGGATCCCCAAGCTATAAAGAGCTCTTTAAGTCAAAACCAGTACCTTGAACTGGAAGCATCCAGGCAGGCAGCAGCCATTAATTAGGTGAATTGCTATCCTGCAGCGTTTTTAATAGACACACACAGAGGCACACACATTCAGTTCAGGAAGCGGAACAGATAATGTATGCATAACTTTTAACTTAATTGTGCTCGATTCTAAACTTCTTCGGTGCAAATAGCACTCTCTCCAACGTAAGAAAAGAAAGCCATAAATGGTGTTTAACAGCTGAAAGACAAAATTATATGCAATCAACAGCTGCTCGTTACAGAATTGCTACTTTAGGAGTGCAGCTGTTTCATTGTGTCTACTTTCAGCATTAGTCGACTCTTCTTTCCTGAGGCCTTCTAAGATACTGTCGTTCTCCTACAAAGAAGAGAATGAGGGCTTAACCCTACACAACTGTAGCCTGTAAAAGACTATGCACTGTCAGCAATCTTTGCAGTCTCAGTCAGATCGTATCATTTTCCACTGCAGGGCCAAATGCCTTCACAGGATACCAGTGATAACCAGAAAAAGAAGTGCTATTTGTAGTTACCGTATTTTTCGCTCTATAAGACACACTTTCCCCCTCCTAAAAAGTAAGGGGAAATGTGTGTGCGTCTTATGGAGCGAATGCAGGCTGCGCAGCTTTCGCTGAAGCCAGGAGAGCAAGCGGGATCGGTGCGCACCGATCCCTCTCGCTCTCCTGGCTTCAGCGAAAGCAACACAAAGCCTGTTGCTCTCCTGGCTTCGCTTCGCTAGAGAGGCGCTGCACAGCTTTCCCTCTATGCGCAGCACCCCTTCAGCGAAGCGGGAGGAGAAATGGAAGGGGCTCCGCTTCTCCTGCCGCTTCACTGAAGGGGTGCTGAGCAAAGAGGGAGAGCTGTGCAGCGCCCCTTCAGCGAAGCAGGAGGAGAAACAGAGCCCCTTCTGTTTCTCCTCCCGCTTTGCTGGAGAGGCACTGAGCAGAGAGGGAGAGAATTTTTTCCCCCTTGTTCTCCTCCTCTAAAACTAGGTGCGTCTTATGGTCGGGTGCATCTTATAGAGCGAAAAATACGGTATTTCCATCCTTAACATGTTTTGTTCTGCATCAAGGGGACGTTATCTTACCTCTCTACAAACTTTGTGAAAATGAATCAGGATGAATGTTCAATGAACTTTTGCTTTTAAAATCAGTGCCAGAGTCAGAGAGAATGCTTTAACAGTTTTATTCTTCTGGTCCTTTATTCCCCACATAATAAACAGAATAAATAATAATACACTTTCCCCTTTGTACTGGGGAGACTGTGGGAGCAGATATTCCCCCTCCCCCCATGTGGTGGTCATGTGAGGGAATTGCAACATTTTGGAATACTGTATAATATTTCAAGAAATTAATAAAAATAATAAATCGTTACAATCAGACCCACAACTGGATTTGCTACTTATTTTTTATTATCATACCAAAACTACAATACATAAAGACTTGAGATAAACTTTTTTTATTAATTGCTGTGATATTTAATATTGCCAAAATTTAGACGGTCCCAAAACCTAAACTGCTATGGTATCAAGCCTTGATGGTAAAAATGTACACATAAGCACAAAGTATTATGAAAAGGAACAGAGACAGACAACTTTCAAATGATTTGATTTTGTTTTATTATATATGCAGACAGGATGGAAAACACATGCAGACCACCATTGACCAATAGTTAGCTCCAGTTGGGAAACTTGGGTTGTGCCCTCAGAAATACAGATATAAAACATGGGCATAGCCAGGATTTATGGGGGCAGGGGGAGAGGACATCCCCATGTTATCATCATCTTTCTGTCTCACAGATTCGGAATGAAATGTCTCAACAACAGTTGTTTAAATTACAGTGGTACCTCGGGTTACATACACTTCAGGTTACAGACTCCGCTAACCCAGAAATAGTACCTCAGGTTAAGAACTTTGCTTCAGGATGAGAACAGAAATCGTGCTTTGGCGGTGCGGCGGCAGCAGGAGGCCCCATTAGCTAAAGTCGTGCTTCAGGTTAAGAACAGTTTCAGGTTAAGAACAGACCTCCGGAATGAATTAAGTACTTAACCCGAGGTACCACTTTACTTTCTTTTGACCCCAAGTGCTCAGAACGATCTGTCAAAAGCTTCAGTTATTTGAAAACTAGAAAGTTAAATTTTTAAAAAAAATTTAACATGCCTTTTTCATATTATTTTTACAAAAACTAAACTAAAACAAGTTTTAAAACAATCTAAACTAAAACTTTTTCAGCACTTCCTTCTCAAATTCCTCCTTTTTCCAATGCAATTTTCCATGCACACTCTGTAAATATAGCCCATTGAGATGCCCCCCCTCACTGTGAACCTTAGCCAAGTCTTTACTCTCTGCAAGGTACTGAATAACCACTCTTCTGTACAAGTGGTGCGTGGCTGAGCAAGAGAGATAGCCAGCCAGAAACCACTGCTGTAGTATTCTAAATTCTGATGTTCTGCAGAGAATAGCTCACAAAGTGCAATGAAGGGTGAAATGATATGTTACATGCATACGCGTAACAAAAGCAGACCCTAACTCTTTTCCTAGGAAACTGCTCGCTAGGGAGGGAGGTCGTGGTATCTCAGTGAGCATTTCAATTTCAAATATTCTGACGATTTCTACTTTTAGTTATGTATTTTTATTTATTTACTTGATATAATGTGGAGCAGCTGCCCCTCTCCAACCCCCTGGCAACACCCATGCTGCCAGGAAAGAAGGGGGAAGTGAATATCTACATCAGGAACAAGGGGTTGGGCGATAAAGATCTACATTGGGATCTGTTGTCCTTATGGATCCTACCAGTAGAGGTGGTTGTCTCACCTGTGCCGGTCTTGTCTATTAGCCTAAGGGCTGAAACACCCAGCCTTTCCTTGCTGCATTTGCTAGAGACAAACGTCTCTTGCCTAATACGAACTCCCCTACTTTGCAAACCCAAACCGTTTTTCAAACTTCAGTGCGTGCAAACATTACATTACATATTTAACAATCGTCATATGAGATAGCGACTAGGCTTACAGCCGCTTACAAGTTTCTTCCAGAGGTTTTAATCCTCTGTCCTTAATGCAGAAATCCCTTTAGCAGTCAGATTTATTGAAGGAATGATTGTGCAGTGGGGGTTTTTGCCTCACTCTCTGTGGCCTGTCTGCAGTCCTGGTTAACCTACGCAAAGCCAGGCGAGCCAACTAAGTTTCGACCAGCGGTAACCGAGATGGTGAAACGAGATACCGGAGCTCCTGCACGACTCTACCTCTTTCTCTCTATGGGTGACTCTACCTCTTTCTCTCCCTCTGCCAGGGGGCGGGGCTGAACGAGAAGCTTTGATTCGCCCATTAGGTCAAAGTAGCGACCAATCGAAAGAGAGCGATCATTTTATACATATGCGGAGGGGCGGAGCTTCGTGGAAGGTATTTGCAACAGTAGGAGGAAAAGGCTGGACTGTAAAAGAAATGGAAGAACTTATTTCTGCATAAACCTGATCTTTGCTCTCTTTTTTTAAATGTTATTTAAAATAAACGGCTGCTTTTAGAAAGAGTAAGTTCTGTAGAATGTTTACAAGTTTATTTGTTTTTAGTGCAAATCTTTTATTTCCGCGTACTTCGCCTGCAGTTAGGAGGACGGGCAAGAGCAGCAGCCGCGCTTTCCAATCGTCTGGTTTTCATTTCTCCTGGGGCACAAGGTAAGTGACAGGCGAGGGGTTTCAGTGGGTAGGTGGGTTGTTTCTGACGCATAAGACCAGTTTTTTGGGGGGAGGGAAGAGATTGAGAGGAAAAGGGCAAGCCCGGGCATGCAAAGCCCAGAGCAGGAAGGTGCTGCTGCCGCAGGCACAAGAGGTGGGCGGACCTCAGGCTTTTGCAAGGTTTTCTTTTCTTTTTCACTATGAAGACCCGTAAGGGCCGCAGATGGCACCGAAACGAAAAGAAGGGCGGGGGGGGGGAGAGAGAGGGGAGGGAGACCCAGATTTAGATGTCCATATAAAAGTGCAAATTTCACTTTTCATTTCATGGGTCCCCTACTCAGTTCTGAAATTAGGGAGTATAGTCGCAAAAGGAGCAGGTCCCAGACGGCCCATTGATGGTCATGTTTTACACGCAGGGAGCCCAGAGCCTCATCATAAGGCCAGCCCTTGCAACTTCATTTAAATGTTGTTTGCTTATTTTAAACTTTGCATACCGCTCTTCGCCATGTAGGTTTCAAAGCGGCTTACAGCAATAGAATAGAAATATATGCAACATTTGAAACTTTTAAAAATATCATAAAAGGGATGTGCAAGCTTATGTATAAATTCAATGGGTAGAACAAAAGCCATTAGATGTACTGCTGGATAACAGTTTTAGTTCCTGTTTTTGTATTTATGTCGTTTAAAAACCAATCAAAAATATTGTTAAAAAAGAAAAATAAGGAAAATATCTGGGAAGCATTCAGAGTGCAAAGTCCCCCCGAAATGAAACAGTTTTGGCCAAGCGTCTGACACACAGTAAGGGCCAGTTCCTGCCCCAACTTCTTATGGGACAGAGTTGCCCAGAGTTGGGCCTATAACACTGAAGGTACTCCTGACTTGATTGATGCTTCTGGCCTTAATAGTACTCATCCAAGGAGCACTACAGGGTAAGGTGGTCCTTAAAGCATCTGGGGCTTAAATGATTAAGGGCTTTGCACACTAGTACAGGGACCTTGAACTTGGCCTGGTAGCATTTTGGAAGTCAGAGCAGGTCTTTCATTTTTTTTTTATAATTGATATTTATTAAGTTTTCAAAGAATAACAACAAAAATTTCCAAAAAAATTTGAGGATACAAAAAACAAAAATAGTACATAAACAAAAAAGAAAAGAAAACCCAGCCGCAAAGAAAAAAAGAAAAGAAAAACAGAAAAACAAAAATATAAAGTCCTTTACAATCTCTATTGACTTCCTTTCTAGACTTCCTCCTCCTCCCCTCTCTTGTTTCTTAATTTTTAATTTTTACAGCAAATCCTTTCTGTTTTTTCATAACAATCTGTCATTACGTTTCCTTATTCTATTTTCCCTCTTGTCATATAAAAACTTTAAGACTCATAGCTTATATTCAATATTTACCAAATTCTTACATCATTACCTTTTTACGAATCATTTACCAATCCTTACTTAAGCCATGTAATTTCATTCAACATCCTTCAAACATTTGTAAGCATTCCCAATATTAAAAAATAAAAAGGAAAAAATAATAAGTCAAATTCAGCTTCCAACCTCCCCTCCCCTGGACCCGGGATTGTCAGTCCTTTTAACCTCGATAATCCGGCTCCTTAACCTGGTTGTCTCGTATCCGAGGCCCAGAGCAGGTCTTTCAACACCTGTGCCATGATCCTGTCAACAGTCTAGCTGAGCATTCTGCACTAGCTGAAGCTTCCCAGACCAGATCCAAGGGCAGCTCCACATGGAGCATGTTGCAGTAATCTAATATTGCTAACTCATGCCCATGCATTAAGAGGTCCACCAGTAAATCCTTACCTCTTTGCTAGAAAGGATGTCCTTCATTGAGTTAGCAGCTGTTAGCAACCCCTCCTTGCTGATTTTCAACTCCAGTCCAGATGTGGCCCCTGCTGCTTGTTTAAAAGGGAGTGATGTGGCCTAAAAGCAGTCATGTCTGCACAGTGTAGCTGGGAGCATTAGTCTGCCAATTGTCTTGCTTTTGTTTATATCAAGCGACAATCCCTTGGGCTTTGAGACTCACACAGTACCCTCTAATTGCTGCGGCTCCAATGTGGAGTTGAGTCTGTGGACTTGACAAAAATTGTCTTAACCCTGGGGATTTGATCTTTTTAGGCCTGTTTTGAGAGAGTGCCCACACATTCTCATGTGAATATGCATAGTGTTCGCGTACCTTTTAAACTTCAGCCCATTTTTAGCAGAATGCAACACCTGCCACTGTGACTGTTCCCTTCTGACTATGTCCACATGGGTTGTTGGCACTACTGTCCACCTGTTCCCTCTCTACCCCTGTATTTTGCAGTATCTCATCAAAGGTGGCTGTGGGAGCTTTCATTTAAGATGAGGCGACGCATCATGCTGCTTAGCTGTTCCACTATAGCATCTGATGATCTACCTTGGCAGTTTTAAATGTGCTCCTTTTGTGAATTTGCAGACAAATGCTATGCTGTAAGCAGTTGCTCTGACCCAAGTCTTGTATTTCAGATGATTGAAATGTTGGCAGCAAGTGAGACTCTGGAATTGCTGCGGCAGCTGAGTGTGTTACTGGATCAAGAGTTAAGATGTCAGCCAAAGTTATCTGGCCTGAGAATAATTGAATCTGCTCACGATAATGGGCTCCGGATGACGGCAAGGTTGCGAGACTTTGAAGTGAAGGACCTGCTTAGTTTAATTCAGTTCTTTGGCTTTGGTACAGAGACGTTTTCTCTCACAGTGAATTACTTAGACAGGTTTCTGTCAAAAATGAAGGTAAGTCTTGGAACAACAAAGCTGTAGGCTCATTCATCTCTTCGTAACCATATGGACTTTAAAGTCTTTGACTGCAAAGGAGTGTTGCATTCAATTCAACATGCATGCATGCAGTTGTGCTATGTAAATCCTCGACTGGAATTCAGATTTTGAGGTCTCAGTAGTTCAGAGCATCAGAAACTTCTCCTTGTCTCGTTGATTCAAGCAATTCTGAATGCATTCAAAGACTAAACACTATCAAAGCACATGTCTGAGAGGCTTCATTTGCTCCTGCCTCTTGAGCCAGGAGTAGAGATTGGGTTTCAACATGAAATGCATAACTGTATCTTGAACATGCATGCCAAGTTTAATGTCACCTCTCTTTCACCAGTTGTATAGTCTCTTTTGTATATTTGCTAGCTGCCTTGAAAAGAGATGTGAGGCTGTGACTGTGCTTGCCCTTAAAATGTAGAATGCATATAATTCTGAGGTCTCAGTATTCGAGGCTGATGCTGTGTATCACAAGTAGGCAACTTACACAATACCTTGTTTTTGAGTGGTTTGAACAATGTTGTGGGTGAAAGTGTATCCCACACAGGACCTTCTGTTTCTGGTGTGTTTGTTGGCTTGTTGGAGCTATGTGGGATTGTCCCAACTGCTGGTAGTGGTTGCTTCATCCACCGCAAAAAGAAAATGTGTTCATCTAGCACAGGGGTTTTCTACCGTTTTTGGGCCAAGCACCAAATTGATCATGACCAACTCATCCTAAACCATATGGCAAGTGGGTGGGGGCAAGACCCAATTCTCAAGCTGCATTCTCTATCCTATTTTAAATCATGTCTATCATGTCAGTATTCATTATTAAATTCCGGTTTGTGGTTTGTTGAAAAATATTTTTCAAGGACATTTCCAGGTGGGATGGAGGATGTTACAAACCTTGTAGAATTGCAGCAGGAGACATTTAGGAGCAGTCAGTCAGTCAGTCAAACAAACAAACAAACAAACAAACAAACAAACAAACAGTACCTTTTAAAATGAAATAAAAAGTATTTAAGCAATGGACTGCTGTGTGCCAGGCATACAATCTTTTTCGACTGCCCTTTCTGCAAGAGGGCAGGGGTTATCTACTGAACTTGAATAGCCTTAAAACATTTGAGACACGTATATGACAGTGGGTGCTTGGGGAGCGAGAAATAGTTGCCTTGCTTCCCCAAGCGTAGAGCTAACTGAGCATGCATTTCTATTTAAGGGATGACAGTAGGCTTAGGCAAGGATATTTGGAATGAACTTTCCACTCAAGGAAGTTAAGATGATTAATTGCCGGTGGTGGGAGGAGAACTTTTGGAAGTTCTACAGGGAAGCACAGCTTAATGGCAGAACATCTGCCTTTCATGTGTAAGGTTCCAGCTCAATTCCCAGCTAGATCATGAAATTGTTCCCATCTGGAACCCCTGGTGGTTGCTACCAGTCAATCCTGAAGCTTGATAGATCTGACCCAGGAGTGCAGAAGGCTTTCCTAAACCACCTAGCTGCCTATTAATCTTACACACATAAAAATATACTGTTGGACTTGTATCTCATTAATCCTGTGATGTGGAGTCTTAACTCCCATTAAGTACAGTGGTATTTACTTCCTGATTAGCTGTTTGTTAGCAGCCTAAAACAAATGAAATTGCATATTAGAAAGAAAAACCCTGAATCTCTGACTTTCTTTCCTCTTCTAGGTACAGCCAAAACACTTGGGCTGTGTTGGGCTAAGCTGCTTCTACCTAGCAGTGAAAGCGACAGAAGAAGAGAGGAATGTTCCATTAGCCACCGACTTAATTAGAATAAGCCAGTACCGATTCACAGTTTCCGACTTGATGAGAATGGAGGAGATTATTCTAGAGAAGCTGTGTGGTAAAGTGAAAGCAACGACGGCCTTCCAGTTTCTGCAACTTTATCACTCGGTCTTACATGGCAGCCTAACCTATGAGAGGTAGAGAATTTTCCTTTCAGAACATGTTTGGAATGGGCAGTTCCATTTAGGCAGAGTGGAAGTCTTTGCTTGGATGGAATTTGAGAACAGTGGAGAGTGAAATCTGAGGCACCTGCATTTTGATATATTGTCACCTGTTGAAAATGATTCTGGTTTGAAAACTGGTTTTAGATAATTTGATTCGGTGTTGTTCATTTCTTCTGTATTTTATGGTTTCATAGTTTTATAATGTGTTAAATATATATATATTGAATGAGTTGAAGATTTAGAAATAATAAAAAATGAATATTACTAAACTGATCTAAAATTTCTCTAGCTGTTCAAAGCTTAGTAATGTTAGCTTTGCCATGTAAACTTTGTGCGCAAAGACGAGACTCTGCTAAACTAGGTCTCACTTTCTTACAGGAAGAAACATCTTAATTTTGAGAGACTTGAAGCCCAGCTCAAGGCATGTCACTGCAGGATTGTTCTTTCGAAAGCAAAGGTAAGGATCTTGATTGATCAGTGCTTGCAGAAATTCTGCAGGACCTGGAGAGGACTGATTGTCATCTTAATTGCTTTGTCTGTTCCTCAGCCATCTGTCTTGGCTCTCTCAATATTGGTCCTGGAAGCTGAAGAAGAAAAACTGCCAGAATTGGAGGGCACCATAGAACACCTTCAAATACATTCCAAGGTAGGCAGTAGATAAATGCTTAGTCCAGAAGATTGGATCTCTTTGTTTCCAGCAGCCTTGAGTTAATGTATAGAGCCTCTTGCCTAATAAGAGACTATGTACAATGAAGGATTTTGTCTACGTCGGTTTTCAGCGTGATTAGATCCTATAGAATCCTAGAGGTTTTCAACCTTTTGGGGACCACAGCTCTGTTGACCAACTATATTCTTTCTGCGGCTGCCCTGTGGGATCAGGAGCCCAGTTATGTCACCCCTTGCCTACAGAGCTGGCAGCCCCTCACCCTTTTTCAAACACCTTCCCTTGTGGAGTGTTCCCTCAGCCTCCTCTCCTTGGTAGTCCTCCAGGCAGCTGCTGCTGTCCCTGGTCTCTGAGCTGTCCCCTCTGCCCCAAGGAGAGGTGCCTCCTCCCACTGCCCCACAGGGGCCTGGAAAGCACCCCCTGGCCAACCCCAGAGGCACCATTCATCTGGGGAGCTTGTAGTCAGATCTGCTGCAAGAAACAGCTGTGCAATCCTTTGGGAGGCAGAGACGCAAGAAGGCATCAGAGGAGGGAGAGAAGGAAAGAAGGTCAGAGGCCAGTGTTGCCCATGGCACGCCTAACCATCATTCAAGGCACCCCAGGGTGCCATGGCACACTGGTTGAAAACCACTGGGTTAGAGGGGATCTCAAAGATCTGCTAGCCCAACCCCATATTGATAAACAAAATGGAATTTTTGGGACAGATCTTTCCCTGGGGAAGCAGGGTATGGTACTACCTGGTTTGGACAGTTGTCAGGTGGCAGAGTGTAGACTTAAGTGAAAAAGAATGTCAAAACTTGTCGGAGCTTGATACACAGGGTGGTGTTGAAACCTTGCTTAAGGGTATTAGTAGTAGTACAGGCGGTGACCATTTTGCACGCGTCCAGTTGATGTGCAACTGCTGATGAATGGATCCTTTTGGACCCAGAAGAGGCTAGAATGGGTGTGCTGGCAAGTGTAACAGGGCAGAGTAGCTTCCACGGACTCTGCCTGTGCGTGTGGGGGTCAGGAACAGAAACCCCGCTCAGAATGGTCACCACCTGCAGTAGTGTTGTTTGTTAGCTGCTTTATACAAAAAAACCACCCTCAATTCAATTTAGCGAGTTAGACTACAGATAAAATCGATTTAAAGCCTGAAATTTAACAATTTATTATACATAATTCCTAAAATGAACCTCCCAGCAACACAGAAAGAATAAGTCCTACCCTACCCTACTAAAATATGAGCATCACAGTAAAATCTAACTTAACTACCAAAGGCCTGGGTAAATAAAAAATCTCTTAGCCTGGCACCTAAAAACCGACAGTGATGGTGTCAGACATCTTGTCCCTATGGAGAGCGTTCATCAGGTGGCAGATCAAATTGTATGTTATTGTCTGCCAATCGCAACAGCTTACTTGGTTCCTAGTGTTTATCCTGAAAGCCAAGTGCACACCTGACTTTCAAACAAAGCTTTGCTGCTTTCTCAGTGGCACTGATTAGTTTTTATTTTCCAACTTGCTTCTGGCAGATAAATGACAGAGACCTGTCTTTTTGGAAAGAGCTTGTGTCCAAGTGCCTTTTGGAATACTCCTCAAGCAAGTGCTCCAAACCAAATGTTCAGAAGCTGAAATGGATTGTGTCCGGCCGTACGGCACGGCAGCTAAAGCACAGTTACTACAGAATTGCCCATCTTCCCACGATCCCGGAAAGTGGTTTCCTGAAAGGTGAGTAAATTTGATTCTGTAAAACTGTAACTTAAATCACTTTTAAATAAGTTGCCTATATGGCATGTGGGTTTTCTTGTAACTTTTGATTTGTTTAGAAGAAGTTCAAGGCATAATTTTAAAAATGCTTTCTGACCATCTCTCACTCTGTGTGATAGTGTGTGGCTAGGTCAGCGGTGCTAATTAAATATCAAAGCTTCATACCTGCTCCACTCCTGATCTTTTCAAGGAGGAAGGGAAGAAGGTTCTTTAAATATTGACAGCACTCACAAGTGGCACAAAAAGTGGGTGAATGAGTAGCCAATAGGAAAGCAGTCTGCCCCTGAAAGTACAGTGGTAGCTTGGGTTACAGACGCTTCAGGTTACAGACTCCGCTAACCCAGAAATAGTACCTCAGGTTAAAAACTTTGCTTCAGGATGAGAACAGAAATCGCGCGGTGGTGGCGCGGCGGCAGTGGGAGGCCCCATTAGCTAAAGCGGTACCTCAGGTTAAGAACAGTTTCAGGTTAAGAATGGACCTCCGGAATGAATTAAGTTCTTAACCCGAGGTACCACTGAACTAACTAGTGTAACATTAGGATGGAAACCTGTGGCCTTTCAGAGGTTGTACTCCCAACTCCCATGAGCCTCAGCCAGCACTGTCAGTGGTCAGGAATGACCACAGATTCCTGTTCCCCACTGGTAAAAGTGTTGACCTAGGTTTTCAAAATGATCATGGTTGTGCACAGTACTATTTTTCTCGAAAAAGAAGTGCCAGAACTGACAATGAACGCCTCCCTTGTTCTTTTAGAAAGGCAATGGTGCCCACCTCAGAGGTGCCAGAGTTCTGGTGGGGGGGAAAGCAATTATTGTGCACATTAATGTACTTCTGCCATCTTTCCATTAGTAATGTCTTTATGGTAGGCTAAGTCATGGTTTTGAAAACTCACTCCTCCTGAAAGCAGAAAGATGAAAAGTTGGGGAAATTCTTGTAAATCTTCCCGCTGCATAAGTTGCTTATTTACTGAGAAGTGAATGTTGCAGGGACCTTGTTTAGTGGACTGGCAGACTGAACTATTGGACTATGCAGAGATGGTGAGAATGACTAGGAAAATCAGAAACCAGGAAGATCAAAACTTCAACAAAGAATGGGAGAAATTTATATTATATTTGACAGACCACTGTAAACATTTGAACTCTTTGGCAGGCCTTAAATAGCTCTTGTTATGTTACATAAACTTTGGCTACAATGGAAGACTAAAAAATTAGGATTTATAAAATGCAGTTGAAAACGTTAACCAAAGAGCCCACGGAGGGAAGAAGTCTAAAGATTCAGAAGAATCTTATTTATTTTTTATTTGTGATATTGAGTGATTTTTTTTTAAAAAAAAACGTACCAGAACTGAATGTTGTACAGTACTGATTAAATCAATTTATACTCTTTTACTTTCACCTTGCAATAACATTTTTTTATTATTCATTTAACTACAGAGAATCCATGAGAAGATGGGAGTGCAGATTTGGCTAGGATCTCCTTTTGTATTGGAGCAGAGAATCAGCTGGATATATCTTGAACCCTACTGAAAATCAATACCCATGCTCATTTTAAAATGTTGCTACTCGTTATATCAATAGTGTTTGTTTTTAACCCCTCATGATGAAGAATGGAGATACTCTTACAGAATGATCCCTGGGCCTGAAGCATACACAAACGGCAGCTATTCGAGTGTTTCATTCTGACTTCTGGAGGAAAATGAAATTCATACTACCATTAGTGTTTGGTCCTAAACATTTCTACACAAACTTTTTAACATGTTCAGACCACGTTTAAGGAAGTGAAACTTTAATGTCCCAACTGAATCCAGGATTCTGAAACTTCTTGAAATAATGATGCACTTTACAAGTATGGAACTGGATTATATGTCTGTGCCAGGACTGAATCAGATGGGTATTGCAAGTGTTTGAGTTAAAGTATGATGTTTTTAATGTGTTTTAAACACCAGGGTATTAGAAGTAAAGCATTTAAATATATAATGTGACTAGCACCACTTCACTGCACATTCTAGCAAAGTGTAAATGCTGCTTAATGTCTGCTTTTTTAAAAACACTGTTTGAAACTTCACAATGTTCACTGACACTTAAGCTGAGGTAAGAATGTAGGTCAAGCATTGGGACATTAGCACTACCTAAAAATAGAAAGGCTGTCTGAGACGCTTTGTCCAAAGTCTGTACTGAGTTAAACAGTTTTAAAATGTGCGGAAGTAGAAAGTGTGAAAGGCGGTCCTGGAGTACATCTTGGGGAACACAATAGTGACTGGTCAAAGCATGTGAGGTGGGGATTGCAGTAGAACATTGCGTTAGGCTGGTTTTATAAACCTCATACACAGGCTTGTTTTATTTTAAGCTGGAAAGTGTTTCTAGAGGAAGATTGCATAATGTGGCAATGATTGGGTTTTACCACCAAAGGTCCCCTTGATGCCAGTGTGAGCCAGTTAGGACTGGCTACCATTGATGAGTATTAGAAGGTTGAAATGGACAGCTGAGGTGGGGAAGAAAACATGAGCTAACTTTTTAGCATCATGACCACTTGAATGCGGACATAGCAGCCTTTGGGAGTGAGGACTTGGGAGCACAACGCCTCCTGAAGTACAAAGCCAAGTAATGCTTAGTGCAGTTTTGCCATATGGCTGTGAATGATGTACTGAAGCCCTGTGCCACTGTACATCAGAAGTAGCTTTCCTAGCTTGGCTGAATCAGCACCTCTACATTACTTACTCTGAATGGCATCCACTTCTAGTCTAGGTGTCTTCCAGATGTTAACTGGGTTAGTAACTTATTCTGTAGCTGTTTTAATAAATGTAGCTCCCCGTCTAAATACGCATATGGTCATTTCTACCTGTGTTAAAGCTGCTGGCTGAAACTCTCCGTGAGGAAGTATTCTAGAACTTCAGTACCAACTTCTACCTCAATACAAGCTACTCAAAATGAAGTGATAGAATGTTTCCTTAAGCCATTGGTTTCCAAGTGACCATACCGTGATACTGATGCATTGATATCTCCTAACATGTGCCTTTTGCCATCTGGATGTAGAGAGAATTTATAAATCTATTCCGTGTGAGTCAGGGAATGCTGCAACTAGTTAACAAGTGCCGTTATGCCTTGTAAGAAACAGTGTACCTTTCAATAAAGCATACTGAAACAGGAGTTGTGTAAGTGAATTTCTTTGCCTTACATCCCGCAGATAATTAGCTTTAAGCAAACGAACAAAATGCCTCTCATACTACGGAACCATGTTCACAATTTGAAGCCGAAGAGTAGAGACTAGGTGAAGAGCTCCCTGTCCTTTTTATTCTGCAGCAGGGCATATAGAAGTCCTGTAGAGGGCAATGTGTAAATGAGAAATTGCATAAGCCAAAAGCTCTAAGCCTCTTCCCCATACTGTGTTTCAAATTGTAAATGGATTGTGTAAAACAGTAATAATGGAATTACACAATGTGTACTGAGAAGTTAATCTCTGAATTTTTTCTCCCCCTGGGGGGAGGGAGGGAAATAAAAGCATTGATTTAAAAATGCTTAAACAACTATAGGGAGTTAAAATCAAAACTAGTCATTGAGTGGTAAGCATCTGTCTAGGTTACATGTGCACCAGACAAAAAGTGGTCTATTTGTGTGGAGTGCCACTGCATAAATGGAAGGTATTTCCTTTGTGGAAATAAACTTTGCAGGGGGACTGCTCTTCAGTCATTCCTACACATCCTAAAAGTGCTAGTTTTCACTTTTTGCAGATGCGTCTGGCACAGTTTCTGCTGCCCTAGGCAAATTAAAATTCTCAGTTTGCTATACAGCAACATCATAGCTCAATGAATGATCAAGACACGGGCTGTATAAAACCAAGTTGTCTCATTGGTACAAGGACTTCTGCTCCCCATGTAACATCTGTCCTGGTACTTTACTCCAACCCCCCGAGCAGATGGGGTGCACAAGCAAAGAGGAAGTCCTGTTGCACAGACAAGCTCTTTTGCTTACAAGACAACTTTGTTCAACACTGTACTGTAACCCTTTTAGCAACAAAGGCTTCCCACCCACCCCAGCCACACGGAAGCTAAGTGTATGTTTAGACACAATATAAACAAAATAAAGCTGCTCTGAGGTTTGATGAATTTGTTCACAAATACAGTTCATGTGGCAACTGAATAGCTAAAACAATAGCTTTGAGTGTTTGGAGTAGGCTTCAGCAAAGAGATTTTAACTTGGAAATTATAAACACATCCCAGTTTCTGCATATTATATAAACTAATTCATGGAAAGGTTTGACTTTCTCAAACATGAAAATTACTACCTCCGCAGGAAACTTAAAGACGTAGAGCCTACACTATTGAGGTAACCAGACAACTACAATTAAGTGTACAGTCATACCTCTGGTTGCAAACATGATCCGAGCGGGAGGCACGTTCGCAACCCATAGCGTTTGCAGCCTGAAGCACTGCGTCTGCGCACGCGTGTGACATGATTTGGCACTTCTGCGCATGATGTCATTTTGTGCTTCTGCGCATGAGCCGAAACTCGGAAGTAACCCGTTCCAGTACTTTCAGGTTCGGCATGGTCCGCAACCCAAAAACGCGCAACCCACAGCGTTCGTAACCAGAGGTATGACTGTATTCATTTCACTGTGCATATGCAGTTGTAACTTGGTTCTCAAACAATGTGTTCCTGGAACCAATAGAAAACCAAGCTACAGCTTCCGATTGGCTGCAGGAGCGTCCTGCAGCCAATCGGAAGCCGCGCTGGACGTTTGGCTTCCAAAAATCGTTCAAAAACTGGAACACTCACTTCCGGGTTTTGATCATTCGGGAGCCGATTTGTTCGGGAACCAAGGCGTTTGAGACCAAGGTATGACTACAGGAAACAAAAGGACATTGCACTTACTGTCTATTAGGGTGGGGGACTTATGACTCTCCAGTTGATGGTGGACCATTTCCCATAAAGGTAAAGGGACCCCTGACCATTAGGTCCAGTCGTGACCGACTGTGGGGTTGCGGCGCTCATCTCGCTTTATTGGCCGAGGGAGCCGGCGTACAGCTTCCGGGTCATGTGGCCAGCATGACTAAGCCGCTTCTGGCGAACCAGAGCAGCGCACAGAAAAGCCGTTTACCTTCCTGCCGGAGTGGTACCTATTTATTTACTTGCACTTTGAACTGCTTTCGAACTGCTAGGTTGGCAGGAGCAGGACCGAGCAACGGGAGCTCACCCTGTTGCGGGGATTCAAACCGCCGACCTTCTCATTTGCAAGCCCTAGGCTCTGTGGTTTACCCCACAGCGCCACCCGACAATTAGCAATGTTGGCTGATAGGAGCTAGAGTCCAACAGTATCTATGTGAAGAACCACAGGTTGTTCACAGCTGTTCTAGAATGGGGTGCAAACATTTCTTGACTGCATAAGAAGTACATTTTATGTTCTTATTTAAAAAGATGTTTACAAACTAAACATTTAAAGCTTTATGTGCAGTACTGTACAGACAAGAGCTGAAGAGCAACACAATATTGCAGCTACATCTGCATGCCCAATGACATTTTGGGCCGGAGTTTCTCAAATGGCAAGAGGGGAAGCTGCAGGGCAAACCCTGTTGAAACTTTTCCTGTGTTCTAAAGCAGCTACAGCACCAGATCCTCATCAAATACTAAAAGTCAAAAACCCAACTGGGAATGCCACAACTCTTGGTTGCATGCGAGGCAATTCTTTGATTCAAATTCAGAACCACCACCAGCCTTGTGGAGAGACCATTGGAATGATGACTGGCTTGGTCTGGGTAGAGGCCCAGGAAGAATATTATTACAAGGTTACTCTGCCCTATTCTCACCTGTTTATCTTACAGGTGAACTTGGCACAAAAGTATGGGAGACTCTAATTACAGGTAATTCACATCTTACACTTATTTCACTTACGCAATAGCAGCTTTGTGTGGGCGGGGAATAAAGACCAGAGGAAACCCGCTCTCCATTTATTTATTTCCCCACAACCACCCACACAAAGTTGCAATCATGGGCTGACTTGGCTTTGGGAAGGCGACGCAAGAGCCCTTGCAGCATCTCAGAGCCCTTGCGCTGCCTTCTCAAAGTCAGGTAAGCAGTGCTCGTTTCTGGGGTTTCCTGGCTTTATGCATGTTTGCGCCTACGCATGAATCCCTGGAACTGAACTCTCATGTAAGATATGAGCTACCTGTACACCACACTTTAGCGTACACAGCTGGGTCTACAGGCACGTCCACATAATCCAAATTGTGCTTGGGTCAACTGAGTGGATGCCACACAGAATCGCAACAGCATGCCACATCTGCTTTTAATTACCCAGCCTTCAAAAGAACGTGCTTTTTTATATCACAACATAGAACATCACTTCAAAATTCATTTTACTAACTTGCCACATTGGCAGTTTTCTGTCAAAATTAAAGCCAGGAGCACATGGGGAGTAGTATTCTTATTCCAAAGAATGATGCACCCTATAGTTCTTCAACATAACTTTCAGCTGGCAGGGTTTTTAAAATAATAATAATAATAATAATAATAATAATAATAATAGCATTATTATAGGTTTTTTATTGTTGATATACATATAGTACTGACTTGTGAACTATGTATATGCCATAGCATTACCATGTTAGCACAATTTAAATAAAAGCCTATTGTTGTTCAGTGATCTAAAAGCTATCGAGAAAAAGCAGTGAACTATTTTTAAGCCTAATTCTCACAGGTGAGTTCTTTGGCCAATTTATATTTCACAACATTTTTGCTTGAGTTCAAGGGAATACATCTGAAAAAAGAAGAAGAAAAGACAGCTATCTTCCAAGACTAGAGAAATCTGGCCCTCCTTTGCTGTAGTTTCCAGAAATTTCTGCTCCACTGAAGTCAAATCCAGGGTTCTGGGAAGGAAAATAAAAACACACATGGAAAAAAAGCAATATTTCATTTATACCCATTCGTCAGATTAACTTGCAGCATTTGCTAACTGCTTTGCAAATTAAAAGAAGCATTTAGTCTAAAGGCCTAACCCAGGGGTGGCCAACCTGCAGTTGCTGACGAATTGCAGTTTCTATTATCCCTGAGGACCATGGACCATACTGGCTGTGGATTCATGGGAGTCACACCATCCAAAGGGTCATAGGTTCTCCATCTCTTCCCTAAACTGTGTAGGAAGCACACCCCACCCCAACATCCCTGTGCGCACTGCCTCTCTGCCACCCGCTCTCCCCCAGTCCAGACCACTGCACATTCAGCTCCTATGTCAGGAGTAGAGAGGATAGAACTGGCACAACTTAGGGACACTGGGAATATGGTCCGTGGGATCACTACCGCTAGTTTGTTTATTTAGATAATTTATATACCACTGCGGCTATATTCAGGATACGTCTCAATACCCTGCTTTCGTAATGTTCAAATCTTGGTTCAAATACATGCCCACAAACATTAACTGATGTCCCCGGACTTGCCTCTCTTTGGAACCTTTCTAGCGTCAGCTTCCTCTGCATCTGGTCCTGGACCCAAGGATCAGCAGCATACTCGTTCTCAAGCAAAGAACTCCAACAATTTCCAGCATCACGGTTGGTTTTCGTCAAGACGATTCGTATCAGTTTCTGGTCCTCTGTTTTTTAAAGAAGTGTGCTTTTTAAGGGAGGAAGATGACACACAACAGCTGGAAACTTGCGTGCATTTAGACCAGCTCCTTTTTTTGACCAGCAAGCAAAGGCATGTGCTCTCTCTAAACTATTACACACAGTGTTTGTGGAGCCAACACCAAATGAATGAGCTTTCCTTTTGTGACTAAGTTTTTTTGTCTTCATATATTCATCCTCAGACTGCTGCAGGGGTCAGCAACCTTCAGACATCAATGGACATCCTGCTTGGGAGGGGCAATGGTTCTCCAACCCCTGTGTAGTGCACTTAGATCGATGGAAGGTGACCAATTATTAACAGCAGCAATCATATGACAGGCAGCTTGGCTGTGCAAAATTGCTCAGAGATTCTGAGATTTATTATCACATTAACACATTCCCAGGTGACTGAAGCTTGTAAGGTGGTACACAAATCGTTTAATAAGAACAAACTTCATGCCTCTGCAGAAGTATTGTGGACTGACAAACATTTACTGAACTGGGAGATGAAGAAGAAAGATAGTTCTTTTTCTCTAGCTTCACTACACCTGCCATTCCTCTAAGCATAATTCTTTAGGCATACATAGAAGGAGGTAAGAGTTCTTTCTGTTTTCGTGTTTGTACCAGAGCAAAATAAAAATAAAATGTTCTCCCCAGCAACAAGCTGTTGAGTGCCTTTATGGACCTCTGCATAAAAGACAAAGGTCACAGAAACAAACCCTCCACATGCAGATGCAGTAACAGCCCCACATGCTCCCCTTTAGCCCCAACGCATGAGTGATGAGCACAACAGGCCTTAATGAGGAATTGGAGGTCTGTGCCCGCCCATCATGACCTCATCCAACTATCTCTATGCTCAGCCAAATGAGGCAGTAACTGGAACTCACATAACATAATAGGGAGGCTGTATGGGTGTATGGGAGGCATGCACAGTCTTTATTTATTTGTTGAATTTATATCCAACTCTTCCTCCTGAAGGGCAGCAAACACAACCACAATTTATAACAAGCATGCTAAAACAGTGGAAAGATTCCGGAAACAGTTTCGGTATGAAACTTCATTTCATCCATTACTTCCACTCCCCAGGCAGTTCAGGAGAAGGGAGGGAGAAACAGGGCTCTGCCAATCCACGTGTGAATCTTTCTGTGCCCTTGCAAGGAAGGATGAAAACCCCATGCAAATTCCACGAATAAAACATTAACTTTACCGGGGAAGAAAACTCAACGAAGAAACTAAATTGCTTCCCAAAAGTTCACTTAAACAAAGGTTTTACCTAGTGTCCATGTTGCTTCATCCGCTATTGTAGAATCAAAGAGTTTACCCTGAAAGAAATAGTAACTGTTTTAAAAAGTGTGTCGTAACATATATTTGTAAACAAACAAGATTTGCTTAAATCTTCAAACTTCTTAAGCTGGTTCCAGAAATACCATTTGTTTTGTGTTGCATGTAAGTAAATGATAATTGTTGGATTCGGTCTATTTTTTGAAAAAAACAACAACTTGTTAACTAGTTTAGTAAATTTGTTTAATTATAGGGACTCAATCTCCTTGTCTGGTATTGCCATTTTAATTATACATTTTGGATTCTATTATGTGTGCAACATCCCAATAGTGTAATATAAGCTGAATATAAACCGCTTTATTTCTCATGAATTTGCATTCCATTAATCTATAAAGGCAAAATCATTCAACTTTCCACATGTGATGAAGTAGGCAAATGCTTGCTCACACAAAAGGAACGCAGAAATCTAATGATGTGCACAGGTCTGCAAGTACAAGGCTCAGACCACATTAATGGCTAAAGCTGAAATCCTGACCCCATTTACCCAGGAGAAAGGCCTATTGAATTCAACAGCATTTACTTCTGAGTACCTATGGTCAGACCTGTGCTGTTAAGAGAGTATAGGGGGCAGTAAGGAAAGAGCTCAAGGATACTACCAAACTCCTACACTCACTTTCCTCTTGGATAGACAGAAGCTCTTTTTTTAAAGACTCGGGTCTTTAGAGACAGTTTATGTTTGTTTGTTTCGAGGGTGCATTCTGCAACATGTCACTGATGCAATAACAGTGTATTGCGGTGGATTTAAAAATGGACCCTCCACAGATCATTCCAGTTTATTAGGTGTTGTGCAATGTTGTCCCAATGTTATCACATTATTGCTGTCAGCATGTACACTCATGAATATGACTATAGCGCAACAAGAGCAGGACTAAAGACAACATGGGGCATCAATAGTATGAAAAGTTACAGGATTTCAGAAGGAAGTGGCAGACATGCACTGATTGGAAACAAAGAAGTATCTCTGCCCCAAACCATTTTGCAGGTGCAAACAGTACTGAGAGTGGGATCACAAATAATCACTCTGATACCACTGGGAGCACAAATAATCACAAATGCCCAATAAAATGGGCAGAGGCCCTGTTTGACACATGCATATTCATCACCTGAAGACTCTTATCATCAAGTGAGACCCCTGGGTATAGGACGGCATATAAATTCAATAAATAATAAAAAAAAGTGATGGCTCACATGCACAACAATGGCATGGAATAGTTTGTTTGTTTGTTTGTTTGTTTGATTTCATTTATATACCACCCTTCATCACAAAATCTCAGGGAGGTTCACAATACAACTCTATTACCAGAAACTCTTCTTCCCAGCATATCAACTGATCACTTTTCCATTGAGTCAAGGCAGATGGACCTTTTGCCTTGATGCAGAATGTCTCCTCTTACACCAGAGGAACTGAGGTGGTTACAGGTTTAGTATGCAGCCAGACTAGCTTTGGGAGGTAGGCTATGGAGCTAGAGAAAGAAGAATCATAGAACTGTAGAGTTGGAAAGTACCACAAGGATCATCTAGTCCTGTAGTTCCCAATGTGGGGCACACGCCCCATAGGGCGACAATTTGATTTTTAAGGGGGACAATCCAAGAATGAGTTATTAACAGTTAATGGCCTTTCAGGCTTCCTCCATGTGCATATTTTGAATAATAATAATAATAATAATATGTCGGGAGGGGGGGAGTGGCACCAGGATTTTACAGATGATTAGGTGGGGCGTGGCAAAAAAAGGTTGGGAACCAATGATCTAGTCAGGGCCACATTTAGGTTTGATGAGGCCCTAAGCTACTGAAAGTAATGGGGCCCATTTATTTGTCCAGCTGTCCTTTGTCGACAACAAATTGTCACTGTTTTTGTGTTGAATATATGTGATATGGTAATTTTTGAACCTAATAGGTATCTAAAGCCATTTGCACATAAAATGTGTATTTTATCAAAGTAATTGATATAGAAATGGGCAAACCAGTGATATTTTAGGGAGCAGGCTAGGCCCATTACTTACATCATAGGAGCCTACACAACACAAAACACTGTTGCTGTATATAGGTTTTATTTTATTTGTTTTTTATTTTATATTTTGGAAATGTACATCCAGTTTTTTTCCCTTTAATTTTTTGGGGGGAGGCCCCAAGACAGTGGGACCCTAAGCTATGGCTTGTTTAGCTTATATGTAAACCCTGCACCCCCTTCATGGATCACTGCCTTGCCGTGGCGAAGGGGCTTGAAGAACTCAGAGAAGCTATGAACTATGCCGAGCAGGGCACCCAAGATGAACAGATCATAGTGGAGAGTTTTGACCAAACGTGATCCACCTGGAGGAGGAACCGGCAAGCCACTCCAGTATCCCTGCCAAGAAAACTCCATGGACAAAGACAACAGGCATATAAAAGTTATGACGCTGGAAGATGAGCCCCTCAGGTCGGAAGGCGTCCAACATGCTACTGGGGAAGAGCGGAGGACAAGTACAAGTAGATTCAGAGCTGATGAAGCGGCTGGGCTAAAGCCGAAAGGATGCTCAGTTGCGGATATGCCTGGAAGTGAAAGGAAAGTCCAATGCTGTAAAGAAAAATATTGCATAGGAACCTGGAATGTAAGAACCATGAACCTGGGTAAGTTGGATGTGGTCAGAAATGAGATGGCAAGAATAAATATTGACATCCTGGGCATCAGTGAACTAAAATGGATGGGAATGGGCGAATTCAGTTCGGATGACCATCATATCTACTACTGTGGGCAAGAAACCCGCAAAAGAAATGGAGTGGCCCTCATAGTCAAAAAAAGAGTGGCGAAAGCAGTACTGGGATGCAATCTCAAAAATGATAGAATGATCTCGATACGAATCCAAAGTAGACCTTTTAACATAACAGTAATCCAAGTTTATGTACCAACTACTGGTGCTGAAGAAACTGAAATTGACCAATTCTATGAAGACTTACAACACCTTATAGAAGTGACACCAAAGAAGGATGTTCTTCTCATTATAGGGGATTGGAATGCTAAAGTAGGGAATCAAGAGATAAAAGGAACAACTGGCAAGTTTGGCTTTGGAGAGCAAAATGAAGCAGGGCAAAGGCTAATAGAGTTCTGTCAAGAGAACAAGATGGTCATCACAAACACGCTTTTCCAACAACACAAGAGACGACTCTACACGTGGACATCACCAGATGGGCAGCATCAAAATCAGATTGATTATATTCTCTGCAGCCAAAGATGGAGAAGCTCAATACAGTCAGCAAAAACAAGACCTGGAGCTGACTGTGGCTCAGATCATCAGCTTCTTATAGCAAAATTCAGGCTTAAACTGAAGAAAGTAGGAAAAACCACTGGGCCGGTAAGATACAATCTAAGTCAAATCCCTTATGAATACACAGTGGAAGTGAGGAACAGGTTTAAGGATTTAGATTTGGTGGACAGAGTGCCTGAAGAACTATGGATGGAGGCTCGTAACATTATACAGGAGGCAGCAACTAAAACCATCCCAATGAAAAGGAAATGCAAGAAAGCAAAGTGGCTGTCCAACGAGGCCTTACAAATAGCGGAGGAGAAAAGGCAAGCAAAATGCGAGGGAGATAGTGAAAGATACAGGAAATTGAATGCAGATTTCCAAAAAATAGCAAGGAGAGACAAGAAGGCCTTCTTAAACGAGCAATGCAAAGAAATAGAGGAAAACAACAGAATGGGAAGAACCAGAGATCTGTTCAAGAAAATTGGAGATATAAAAGGAACATTTCGTTCAAAGATTGCCATAATAAAGGACAAAAGTGGTAAGGACCTAACAGAAGCAGAAGACATCAAGAAGAGGTGGCAAGAATACACAGAGGAATTATACCAGAAAGATATGGATGTCTCGTACACCCCAGGTAGTGGGGTTGCTGACCTAGAGCCAGACATCCTGGAGAGTGAAGTCAAAAGGGCCTTAGAAAGCACTGCAAATAACAAGGCCAGTGGAAGTGATGGAATTCCAGTTGAACTATTTAAAATTTTAAAAGATGATGCTGTTAAGGTGCTACACTCAATATGCCAGCAAGTTTGGAAAACTCAGCAATGGCCAGAGGATTGGAGAAGATCAGTCTACATCCCAGTCCCAAAGAAGGGCAGTGCTAAAGAATGCTCCAACTACCGCACAATTGCACTCATTTCACACGCTAGCAAGGTTATGCTTAAAATTCTACAAGGCAGGCTTAAGCAGTATGTGCACCGAGAACTCCCAGAAGTGCAAGCTGGATTTCGAAGGGGCAGAGGAACCAGAGACCAAATTGCAAACATGTGCTGGATTATGGAGAAAGCTAGAGAGTTCCAGAAAGACATCTACTTCTGCTTCATTGACTATGCAAAAGCCTTTGACTGTGTCGACCACAGCAAACTATGGCAAGTTCTTAAAGAAATGGGAGTGCCTGATCACCTCATCTGTCTCCTGAGAAATCTCTATGTGGGACAAGAAGCTACAGTTAGAACTGGATATGGAACAACTGATTGGTTCAAAATTGGGAAAGGAGTACGACAAGGCTGTATATTGTCTCCCTGGTTATTTAACTTATATGCAGAATTCATCATGCGAAAGGCTGGGCTGGATGAATCCCTAGCCGGAATTAAGATTGCTGGAAGAAATATCAACAACCTCAGATATGCAGATGGCAGAAAGTGAGGAGGAATTAAAGAACCTTTTATTGAGGGTCAAAGAGGAGAGCGCAAAATATGGTCTGAAGCTCAACATCAAAAAAACGAAGATCATGGCCACTAGTCCCATCACCTCCTGGCAAATAGAAGGAGAAGAAATGGAGGCAGTGAGAGATTTTACTTTCTTGGGCTCCATGATCACTACAGATGGTGACAGCAGCTACGAAATTAAGAGACGCCTGCTTCTTGGGAGGAAAGCAATGACCAACCTAGACAGCATCTTAAAAAGTAGAGACATCACCTTGCCAACAAAGGTCCGTATAGTAAAAGCTATGGTTTTCCCAGTAGTGATGTATGGAAGTGAGAGCTGGACCATAAAGAAGGCTGATCGCCGAAGAATTGATGCTTTTGAATTATGGTGCTGGAGGAGACTCTTGAGAGTCCCATGGACTGCAAGAAGATCAAACCTATCCATTCTGAAGGAAATCAGCCCTGAGTGCTCACTGGAAGGACAGATCCTGAAGCTGAGGCTCCAATACTTTGGCCACCTCATGAGAAGAGAAGACTCCCTGGAAAAGACCCTGATGTTGGGAAAGATGGAGGGCACAAGGAGAAGGGGACGACAGAGGACGAGATGGTTGGATGGTGTCTTCGAAGCTACAAACATGAGTCTGACCAAACTGTGGGAGGCAGTGGAAGACAGAAGTGCCTGGCGTGCTCTGGTCCATGGGGTCACGAAGAGTCGGACACGACTAAACGACTAAACAACAACAACAACAAACCCTGCACTGGATCTAGTCCAAGGCATGGTGATGACTCAGTAAGCCTTACTACAAGAGACTAAGAAAGGAAATATGTGCAACCATGCACTGAAAAGCACTCCCAACGCGCATGGCTTCCTCCCAAGAATCCGCAGAGCCACAGGACGGAAGAGTTCGAAGGGGCGCCGAGGGCCATCTAGCCCAACCCACTTGCAGTCACAAAGGGCGCTGGGAACTCTAGCTCTGCAGTTTCCAGATTCCTTTGGGGGAAGCCGCGCGCTTTGGCTCGGAGTCGCCGCCCCTGGTCCCTGCCTCCTCCTCCTCCTCCTCCTCCCCGCACCTTGAGCACTTCCTCGCCGGCCACGGAGAGAGACAGGTGGCGGCTCTTGAGGCTGCACTCGACGCTCTTGGCGCGGGTCCCCTGCGGCACGTCCACCTCGATGAACACCTCTTCCATGGTCTGGTACCAGCGGCCCCAGGGGGTGGCGCACGGCACCAGCCCGCTGCGCTCTTCGAACGGCGCCGACATCCACTCAGCGGGCGCCTAGCCTCATTCCCCCCACCAGGACCCCAGCGCCGGGGAAAGGGCGCATGCGCCCTCGTCCCTCCGCCTCGCAACCCGTCCCCGGAAGTGGTCCTCGAACTGCCCCATTTCCGCCAGCTTTTCACGGCCCATAGAGCTAAAAAAATAAGAGCAGTTCTCCATTTAAAAAAATGTTCTACAAATAAGGAAAGGCGGACATCTTGGAGAATATAAAGTTGTACCTAACCCCACCCAGCCACTCATATTTGGAAAGGCTACTTGTCTTTGATTTGAAATGCAAATTGCGTTCGTTTGTGGAATGCGCTCGCTACTCAGGATGCGTCCCCGGACGATGCGCGGATGCATCCCGCTGGAGACGCGCAGAAGGAAAGGCGCTTTGGATACCCGCAACTGGATCAGTAAACTACACCTGTCGCCTATAGTATAAGCGGAGCACGCGCGTTAAAATCAGACTATTACAACGAAAACGGGTGGAAGATAGGAAGAGTTTTCGCCGTGCATGGAGAAACAATGCAATGAATTCGTTTGCTGACGCCTCCCAGACCGTTTATAGATTTCCACGTCAGCGCCCTCCCTATACATTTAGGCAGAGCGGGGCCGTTAAACGAGACTGCGTCGCTCTTGGCCCGCCTTCCTGGGAGGAAGCCCAGGGGACTGGCTTCTGAGCCGTCCCGCTCAGGACTGCTCTGAGGCTTCTCTTCCCCTTTCTATCTCTGCTTTGCCCCCTCTCCTGCCCCGCCTCCCTCCCGCTAACACCTCCCAGTGGAAGCCTCTTGGCCGGCGGCGCGCGTTCCTGATTGGCTGCGTTGAGTTCATATGATGCGGGAGGCGGGGCGCCGCAGTTTTTTGAATTCGTTCTGCTCGCTGCGGGCTGGGCAGACGCTGCTTTTCGCCATGTCGTTCCCGAAGGCTCCTCTCAGGCGCTTCAATGAGGCACCAAGTGAGTAAAGGGCCGGGAGGTGGGGAAGCGGCGCTCGGTTGCATCTCCAAAGAGCGCAGGCGGTGAATAAGCAGCGGGGAGTATCTACCCAGGGCTTTGCTGAGAGCCCGTCTAGTCCACTACCCAGTCCTACCCCCCACACCTATTTTTGTCCCCGTTTCTCTAAGGCACACTGCCTCTGAATATGGAAGCTCCACTTAATTCTGTGCCCCTTCCCCACTGAAGGCGATGTTTGGCCTTCTCTTGTCCAAAGTCCAATCTCACTTGGGTACCAACCTGTTTATAGTCTAGTATGACTGGCTCAAGATGGTTTGCTGTCCGAGGTAAAGGGCAAGACACTTCTGCCTCCCATTCCATGTATAAATGTTCTTAATCTTAAACATTGGTGATGGTAAGTAGGAGAACGGAAGCATAACCACCCGACGACACCCCACTTACCATTCCCCTCCCCCTCTTTTCTTCCTAGTTATTTAAATTCAGGTAGGTAGCCGTGTTGGTCTGATGCAGTCGAGATATATATATATATATATATATATATATATATATATATAAAAAATTGTCCAGTAGCACCTTAGAGACCAACTAAGTTTGTTCTTGGTATAAGCTTTCGTGCGCATACACACGAAAGATAACAAGAACAAACTTAGTTGGTCTCTAAGGTGCTACTGGAATTTTTTAATTTTATTTTTTTAGTTATTTAAAGCAATTCATGAACCAAGAACTCATACACTGACCACTAATAATGAACCATATGTTGTAGATATTACTCCACATTTATTATGCCATTTTTGTGATATACTGTACAAATGAGATGAGAAAACTTGGTATACTTATTTGTACATTATTTGTTTTTAAAACCCAATAATAATAATAATAATAAAACATTGATGATGGTACAGGGTCATTCACTGCACCTAAAGGCACTGGCTGGCTTACGTGGTGCCAGACAGGCCTTGTGCACATAGAGTTTAGTCCTCCAACACATCGCTACTGCTCCCTTCCTTTGTTTTTCTTTAGCTGATAGTAGGACTGGCCCTAAGTTTTGCCCCCTTCATTTTAAAATTGACTTTTAAAGCAATTCTTAAGGCACCAGGAAATGGCTGGAGTTTTTTTTTTCTTTTCAAGTTATAACAATATTGCAAATGGTTACATTGTATAATATTTGTATTATTTCTCAATGGGCCCTGATAACGCATTCACGATCATTGTTATTGATTTAGTTGGTGCAGACTAAAGTTTGTAGTGTCCCTTGAATTGGGTCATTTCTACCCTTTCATCTTGTGACTATTTTATCAGGAATTCAGAGATTATCAAAATATATTCCCTTCCTCAACAGAAATATGAAAAGGAGGTGAAAGAACCCCAGTGCACAATGTAATGAATGCAAACACTGCAGTAAGGATTAATTCAGCTTTTTCTGCAACAGTTGGCTATCCAAAATGTATATATTTTTTTAAATGGGTTTTTTTTAATCAGGGCTTTGATTTTTGCTGAATGTTCATCCTTCTTCCCACCTTATCTAGCTTGTGCCCCATCACCAGGCGCTTATGATGTCAAAGCTTCAGATCCATCAAAAGGACCTGTGTCTTTTGACAAGTCCCAACGATTCAAAGAGCATATGGGTAATGAAATCGTGAAAAAGCTGGATTGGCAAATGCTTGCTTGATGCTTCTTTAACAAGCTTCAGATCTGCGCTTCATGCATGAAGAGTCTGTTCTCATCTTCCATTCTTAACCATGTTCCATGTTTGTCAATGACATCCAGTAGTGTTATGCGTGTGTACCTGGACTCACATGTGCACAGTCAGCACTCATGTATATACACATTACTGAGAGGTTTAGGAGCTTTTGCTGGAGTTATGACTTGCGCTTGTTATGGATGTGCATTAACACTTACTGTCCTTCTGCTTTAGAGCTCCTGTTTGTTGGATTCCTACTTGTTTAGTTATAAATTTGTTCATTTTGCTGTCTTGTCTAAACACACAAAGAATAATGGAAGGTAAAATAACGCTAAGAGGTCGACTTGTGCTTGTGTACATGTTAGCTTACTTACAGGTAGTCATTCCAACTTTCTCCTTTCTCTCATGCTGTGGCACTTATCCATGTCCCAAAGTAGATTTGCTTATAGTCAATGTTTGTTTTGTGATGTCTAGACAATGTGGGAATGGTGGTATAAAGTTTTCTGTGAGACACCTGGGAAATAGAAGTACATCTGCTTAGTCCTTTTTTTAAAATGGCTGAAACAAACCATTTTCAGGGGGTTCTGCAAGATGGGAATTTCACATGTGGGGACACAGACAAGTGCAATAGTGCAACCTTGCCACCCTCTTCTAATTCAGGGGTGATTGGTTTATATTTGTGCAAGTGGAACCCTGATTTGCCAGGGTTCTATGTTACATTGAATGGATAATGCACTTGGTTCTCCATTTCATTTTGTCCACAAGCATTTCATGGATTGTTCTTGTGTTGCCCATCTATGGATGCTGAACATCTAAGGATCTTGAACAAATAATTTGGAAATGGAATCTGGTAAAAATTCTCTTATTTTTTTCTTTTCATAGAGGATGCAGGAATTCAGCAGAATGTTACCAGTATGAAACCTTCATCAACTGCTGCAAGAAAACTTGACTCGAAAGTAGGATTCATATTCTAGCTTGCGTCTCCCTTGGCATTTTTCTACTGCTGTGTCAAAATCTGCCCTTTAACTTTTCATGATTATTTTTTCTCCCCGGGGAATGGCTTCCATGTTTCTGCTTTGTTCTTGGAACTCAATAGAACTTCTCTATAATTTTTATGGATGTAGGTTTCGAGCTTACCTTATTGTTGCAAGATGGCATAGGGTGGAGCGTTATATATATGCATACTTTATAGCAAACATTTTCCAGTCCTTTGCAGCCTCCCTGGCTGTCTGAGCTTCCTGACCTGAGAAAGTCCTGTGGGAAGAGTTGCCTCCTCATGACCTCCTCCCCTGGACTTTAATTGAAATATGGGCACCCATGAAGGCTGTAGAGGGCAGACAATTGGTGAGATAATTTCTAGAATGAAAGGAAAGGCACACACCCATAAAAGTAAGGTAAGCACCACAAAACTCTGCATCCCACCCAGGATAATTTTGCTAAAGTTTTCTCTTTTCTTTACAAATGAGGTCCTTTTGAAAGCCTGTTATAACTGTCAAACTGAGATAGACCGAAAGATCACTTGTCTTTAGGAGTTTCTTCATGCATATAAGTTTGAGGAATTATTTTTTCCCAGCAATTGGGAAGGAGCATGTGTATATTTCTCAACTGTCTGCTGGATAAGTTGCATTTGTACTTCTGAAAAGCTGTGCTCATAAAGTGTGGGTGAAATCAAAAGGAAATTGGTTTTAGGTTTCAGCCCTTTTATGAAACAAACTGTTTTTCTTGGCCTCTAGAATTTAAAGCCAAACAGCTTGGGAATGAAAGCGGGAAAGGATTTGGCCAGCAAAAAAGACTTGAAAACATGCAAGGAGTTGGAAAAGGAGGTATGAGCACCACCATCTCTTTTAGTAGCTTATTTAAATAAATGTATTGCATTTCTGGTGTGAGCATCTCTGGTTCTTTTAGAATAGGTTTGCAGAATCTGAAAGCAGCCCTGTATAGGGAAGTTTTTAATGTTTGATGTTTTACTGTGCTTAATGCGTTTAATTTGTTGGAAGCTGCCCAGAGTGGCTGGGGGAAGCCAGTCAGATGGGCAGCATATAAATAATAATAAATTATTATTATTATTATTATTATTATTATTATTATTATTATTATTTTGTTATTAGGTCTCAATTCTTAAACCTCTTCAGGCTTGTTGGAGAGCCAAAAATTTGACATGTTATTACATAATTTGACCCAAGACACTGGATATATTGGCATGCAGCATTTTCCCTCAGTGTCACTACTGTCTCCCCAAATTTCCTAGTGATGTTTAAATAAGTGGGTGGCCAAATCAATTTGTGTATTAGTCAGTACAATAGGAAACTCCCCTTGGAAGTACCCAAGGCCCTTTAAGTCACCTGGCTATCATCAAACTCAACATCATAAACCATTTTGACATTGATGTTACAGGTGTCTGGAGTGTTTCAGTGATAGTTCTTTGTTTATATGTAATGTTGGATTTATGGTTGGCTTACTTGTAAACTACTTTGAAATCATTTATAAAAGCTGACATGTGAATTATTGCTCTGGTGGGTGACTTGGGGTTCCATTCAGACAGCTTGCTTTACTGAGCATTCATTTGTATGTATTTGTAGGGAGCTTTGATGACATTGCATCAGTTCCACTGCATTTCCCCACCACTTCCTTATATCACAAAAATTCTGATCATTCAGGGAAGTGGGTTTGTGACACAAGCCTTCCCAAACAGCTGTAATTGTGGCAAACTGAATTTGCTGGCATTGCAACTGAATCACTGTTCGAAACTCCCATTGTTCAAGGGGCATTTTGTGACCGGGAATTTCATTAGCAATTTCTGAGCTCTGGGCGCAGTACTGTGCCTAAGATTTCAGATTATAACTGCAGAGTGGAAGGAAAGGAGGACCTTTTTCTGCCTCCTCACTTCTACATACTCTCTGAAGACTGGAGAAGAGACCCTCTTAAGAATATTTGGGGAGGGGACTATTGGGGAGGGGAAGGACTAGACCATGTGAAAAATGAACATAATGTTTTAGCTGCAGTTCATTCATTTTCAGCTTTGTATTCTTGTTATAAAAAAGCGTGCCCAGACATTCTGATGTTGTGCCCACAACCTAGTTTTAAGGTGCCATTTAGGTCCCAGCTTTCATTTGTCAGTTTCTAACACTGGACTGAATCCCACCCAAAAATAATGACAATCTGCAAGTGCCCTGGGACAATTAATTCAATTGTGTTACTTATAACGAGAACATTTTGGAATTTCAACTAGTAATGAAACAATATTGGGGGGGGGGACTTGCTTCCTGGAACTATTTCTCAGCTAATTTCATGCGTATTACTGTAGATTCGGGTGCTGATTGGAGAACGTGGCCAGCAGGATAAAAGGCTGCAAGCTCTGGAGGAAGATCTTGCAAAGTCTGAGTCAAAGCTGTCTGCTGCAATTAGGGAGAAAACCTCACTTTTGGCGAATATTGCTTCTCTGGAAAAGCAGCAGCTGGAGTTGATCAGGACCAATGAATTACTGAAATCAAAGGTACGTATCATTATGGTTTATGTAGCTGCTGTGGTGTTTGGCCGCACTTTAAGAGGCAGGATGAGCACCTATCTTCTGGTGGCAGTTTCCTCCTGCAAAGCTTTGTGCTTGAATGGGTCTGTCCTTAAGGCACAATGGGTGAACAGTAATTTCACAAACATGTTACAATCTGTGTAGTTAAAAAAATAGAGATGGTGTCCATCCTTTCTCCACCTTTCTTGGTGGCCCTGCTAAGTTGTTACAATTATGCCTTTATTTTACCAAGTAAATACTAATTTGGGGGTTTATACAGTTAAACCTCTGCTCCCGAATCCCTCCGTTTTGGAACGTTTCGGCTCCCGAATGCCGAAAACCTGGAAATAAATGCTCCGGTTTTCAGAAGCTGAATGTCCAAGTCAAGTGCAAGAGGCTCTTGCAGCCAACTGGAAGCTGCGCCTCGATTGCCGAACATTTTGGAAGCTGAACGGGCTTCCGGAATGGATTATGTTCAACAACCGAGGTTTGACTGTATTGTCTCGCTATCTACATAATGTGACTTTGGACAGTAACAAACTTAAGCGTGGGATATTCTTCCCTTTAACACACTTTAAAATGTGAAGGCTTTGTGCAGCAAGTTCCCTTTCATCAGGACACCCTACATTGGCATTGAAAAGATGAACACAGAAGTAACTACGTATTGTGTGCACTTCAAAGCACTGATTTCCAATGGACGGGTTTATGCATGTGCTGGAGGCTGTAATGCCCTGCAATAGCCTTCTGCAATTTGATGCTCTCCAGATGTGTTGGACTGCAGTTTCCATCAGCCCCAGGCAGCATAGCCAGGATGCTGGGAGTATGGAGGGCATCAGGTTGGACAAGGCTGCTGAACACACAAGGCATGAGAATAAGTTTCATTGACCGCAAGGGGACATCTCTTTATTTAAATTAACCTTTTGGGGCATTCTACATTAGATGATCCTGCTAGATCAGGCAAAGACCCATCTCACAGTGGCCAACCAGATGCCTGTGGGAAGCCTGCAAGCAGGACATGAGCGCAACTGCACTCTGCCCACCTGCAATTCTCAGCACCTGGTATTCAGAGACAGTGGCAGAGCCACTGTGGCTAGTAGCCATTGATAGCCTTGTCCTCCATGAATTTGTCTAATCCTCTTTTAAAGCCAACTTGGTGGCCTTTTCCCACAGCTGCCACACACTGGGTCAACATTTTCGGCAAACTATCCACTATGACCCCAAGGTCTCATTCCTGGGCAGCCACTGCCATTTCAGAACCCAAGAGTAAACATGTGAAATCCGAGCATATTTTTGTCCTGTTGTGCATCATTTTCTACATGTTTACATTGAATTTCATTTGCTGTTTTACCACCGATTCAGTTTGGAGAGGTCCTTTCGGAGCTCTTCACACACTCCTTTTGTTTTAACAACCTTGAACAGTTCTGTAGGCTCACACTCCAATTTGTTCCCACTGGAATCTAGAATGACAGAGGGTAATTTTGGCTAGATAGGATTTGTTCTAGCTAGGTTGCTCCTGAAGATTCCTAAAGATCAGAACTAAAATTGAGAAGAAAACTTTCCTTCTCTCCTGCTTTCTCCCCTTAAGTTCCATGAAGATGGAACACGGAAGAATACAAGGCTATGGATAGAGGTAATGAAGCTGCGGAATCTTAGGAATGCAAAGAAGGTGAGTTACAGTACTCAGACTGGGATTAAAACCATATCTGTCATAGTATAATTTAGACTTTAAATTTCTTTGCTTATGGTGAGAGGAAGGGTGAAATCTAATGTAATGCTAAGTCTCATTCCATTAGTGCAAAAATTTCTCCTTGCACAAAAGGATGTTCTTCCCTTCACCACCACCACATCCCAGAAAAATTGTTCAGGGATTCCTTCAAATTTGGCGGGGGGGGGGCAGTATTATTGAGGAAGCAGAAACCCTTGCCCTGATGGGATGCAGTAGTTGAATATCACCCTCAATGTTGATCTGCTAGGACTACAGTTTTTCTTTATAAATCCATCAGTGAGGGAGAGTTCAAAATTGCTAATGTAGACATTGAACAGTGGGAGAGTTCACATTGCTCAGGTTAGGTTCCTTTTATTGGTTGACTTATTGCTTCTAAACTTGAAAATTTTGAATAAGGGAAGATTTGATGATCTTTTAAGGTTTTAATCTTTTGTGTAACGTCTATGTGTGTGGTTTTTAGACAGGCCCCGTTAAGCAGGAAGACACAGAAACGAAACTGCACAAAGTTCAAAAAGACTTGGAGCAGTCACAGGAAAAAGTAGCACAGCTGGAAGAGCAACTGTAAGTTTCTGCATGAAATGTCAAGCAGCAACCCTTTTTGTTAACTTTGTGGTACTTTAGCAGGCTAACCTTTTAAGTGTAAAGGGTCTTGAAAGGTAAGAGTCGGTAACCATCTTCTACGGCAAACTGCTTTCTGAAACACCGAAATGTTACTTTTTAAGGCTTTCTCTCTCTCTCTCTCTCTCTCTCTCTCTCTCTCTCTCTTTTAAAAGAGGCATTACTTAACACAAATATTTCAGACTTGGTGCAGGTGAGTGGCCAGTGAAATACATTTGCAAGCTATAGTATGTTTCCTTCAACTAGTCCATTCAGCTTCAGTTACTTTGCTCCTTGGTGTTGTTTAGTCATTTAGTCGTGTCCGACTCTTCGTGACCCCATGGACCAGAGCAGCCAGGCACTTCTGTCTTCCACTGCCTCCCGCAGTTCGGTCAAACTCATGCTGGTAGCTTCGAGAACACTATCCAACCATCTCGTCCTCTGTCGTCCGCTTCTCCTTGTACCCTCAATCTTTCCCAACATCAGGGTCTTTTCCAGGGAGTCTTCTCTTCTCATGAGGTGGCCAAAGTATTGGAGCCTCAGCTTCACTATCTGTCCTTCCAGTGAATGTCCTTCCACTTTGCTCCTTAGTTAGCAATAATGCTCTGTTGGAATCTTTTAGAGTGGCCAAGCAATTTGTATCCATGTTGTTGTATCCATATCATGTTTTTTTTTACTACCGTGTCCTAGTTGGACATCTTAAGTGACCATCTGCTCACTAGAGAGCCATTTAATCAATAGTAATTAAAATCAGATGTTGAAATAAACTTCCCCACTATTCTACCCAGATGGATTTCTGTTCAAAATCAGCACCTCTGTTTATAACAATGGCTTAGCTGGGAGTGGAGAGAAAGAGGGGTGTTGTCCTTGTATTTAGCGTTGCTTTTTCCTGTGACTCCTGACCTCTTAAGTGCTTTTCCCTTTAAGAGAAACAGCTAAGGAAAGAGCTTGAACATGATGACTGTAGGGATATCAATGGTCCAGAAGTATCCAGCACAGAGTGATTGTTTTCATGTCTTAACCTGTAGTGGTTAAGGATGGAGTCTACTGAGTGGCCTCTATTGCTTGTTGTAAGCATTATGCGATAACATGAGCAGCACCAAGCTGCTGCTTTCCACAGTTCAGTTGGTCTGTAGGTTTTATTTGCTATGGCTTTGCGTATCCTTGGATACTGATAAAATAATGCTTAGATAGAAATAGAGATAGTATGTCTAAATTGTCAGTGAACATTTGACAACGTGGGCCATGATTTTGAACATATATCCACATAATTTTTTTAATGGAAAAACACATTTCAGAAAGGTGACATTGGTGCCTTATTTTTCTCTTACAATCGGGAACACTTATTTGCCTTTATGCACCTGGTCTTCTGTAATGGTTTTCAACTTTGTAATGCTCAGCTGCTACCTGGGCTGTAGTAAGGATTCTAAGTAACTGATCTTCTGTATACCCTAGGAAAGAAACTGCTTATTTCCATTTCTTGGTTATTTTGTACTTTCCGGTTGAAAACTTAACTACATATTTTAGGCCCCTACATGGCTGAAACAAACATTCCTTTTGGAAAACTTAACACTCACTTTTTTCTGATTGAGTTTCTAAAGACCCTATGCCATGCGCTCATACATTTTCATTCTGTTTTAGGACAGCAAGTGAAAGGCAAGCTGAAGAGACATGTGACTTAGAGAATCTCCTGGAATACATTGCAGAACTTGCGTAAGTCACGTATACTTACAATCTTATTTTCACAGCTTTGACACAAGCACTGTCTGGTAAAGGAACCTTGGGACTTGGCCTTGTGCGTTTTATTTCTACAAAAAGCCTAAGATTTGAATTTGCCTAATTGTGCATTTGTCTGCACTTGTTAAACTGAAGTGTGAAGCTAGTGGTTCCCAAAGCCATAACTTCCACGATCTACGTTTTTAGAGGTGAAAAGTCCATTGCTGGTTCTCAGAGTGGGTGTCACAAATGCTAACTGAGATAAAAGCTGGGTTTTTGCCTAGGCTGCTGCTGTTCTATGGAAGTGAAGGCAGGGTGTGGAGAAGTGCCCCAGTCTTCAGTTGGCATTTGTGGATGGGATGGACCACAAGTGTCCATGTTGGCTTACTGATGAATCTTGAGGTAGCATTGATGGTAATGTTGAGAAAAGAAGAGACTACCAGCAGGCAGCTGTTCTGACCCAAGATGCTGGTGCATCCATCATTTATAAGGGTAGAGATTATGGTTAATTAAGATTGTCTTCTCCAGCCAGGTGTCATCAAGATGTTGCTATACTACAGCATCTGTTTATCTCAGACCAGTGGCATTGCTAGCTAAGTTTGATGGGATTTGGATTCTATCTGGAGGGTACCAGTTTGGGAAAAGCTAGACTAGAAAATGCAGTTTGCTGATATTCCTATATCTTTGGCTAACATACCAGCTTATGTTTATTTGGGAAGGCATTTAGACACTGGAGTTGTGGATATCTGCTACTCTTATTCCCCCCCTTGAAGGAATAATATACGTTGAGGAGTCATCAGCCAGAAGCTTCTAAAACTGCAAGAGAGCCATTACCTGTCCTAAATGCATCTTTGGGCATTTTAGGAACAGCAACAAAATCAGAAGGGCCTGTTGGGGTAACTTTTTGGCATATTTCAGTCCCAGCAATTGTTTCAAGCATTGTGACTTCTATAGGACTTGGGTGACCTCTGTTTCTGGTTTGGAGAGTTTGAGGATGTTAATGGGATCCAAGTCTTTACCTGAAGATGAAATGAAGAGCCAATCAAGGAGCAGCATGCTAAATATAACCTTAAAATAAACAAAACAAAAATAACTAGGGCAGGTTTTCCAGGATAGTCTTGTGAACTCTTCTTCAAGCAGTAGTAAAGTGTGACTACTTCAGAATATTTCTCAGAAGAGACTGCTTGCATTACAGGGGCCTAAAATAAGACTCACTACATTGCAAAGCTAGTGGAAGTTGCTGAGCTGAGATCTAACTTTTGTCAGAGTAAACCTACTGTAAACTAAGAACATCATGTGTTTCTTTTTTTCTCCCCAACAGCAATGTTTCAGAACAAGTTGATAAATACAAGCTGGATGTCATCCAGTTAGAGGCAATAATAGAAGCCAAGAATAAGGACATTGACACATTGCAAAATACTCTTGAAATGAAAGAAGCAACGCTGTCTACAGAAATTGAAGACCTGCATGAAAGATGCAAGCTGCTTGAACAGCAAAAAGGTGACCATAAAGTTACGGTGTGTTTTGGCCAAATATGCCTACGTTACTTTCAAAACAAACGTCAGCTGGCTCTCATTTTCTCAACGACAGCTCCAAGTTTAATCTTGACTGATGTGCACAGTATTATGAGGCAATTTATTTTTATTTTATTGGTAGTGGAAATCATTGTGCCAAGCAAATCTCTTCCTGTATGTTACTTTTACTTTGGAGACACAACTGCAGGAATCTAGGAATGAACTACGAATGGCAGAGCAGAACAGTTAGAATATAAAAAGCTCTACCTATATCCAAGCAGTTTTTTTGTGTAACTTTGTTTTTTTATTTTTTATTTTAGAGAAATGCTTATTTGAATATGGAGAAAAGGAGAAAACGGCAAATGCAGAGATAGATCTTCTGAAAGAAAAACTGATTCAAGAAGAACAGGAGCACCAAAAGCAGAAGGAAGCCTATAATGTAAATAAAGCTGAGCAGGAGTCTAGAAAGCTGAAGAGTTTTATCCTGCTAGTCACCATTTGCAGACAAAGAACAATTACTGTTGGAGATTTTGTGCTGCAATTTCACATTATCTGAAGCTTCGTAACCTATTTCACTCTTGGCAGTATTGGAGTATAATGGGCATAGCTTTGGGTTATGGTATGTCTCAGATTATTGAATCAGCCACCCCAATTTGCCATGGAGAGATTGGGCTGTGTTATATTTACCCAGAAATTTAATATGTGGTGGGGTAGTGTCTCAAAATTTCATCAAAATAGCTTCAGAAAATAACATCTGTATCTAGAATACTTTCTTAAATTAGGAAGCAGTGGCAGAGAATGTTGGGTTGAAGCAGAAGATGATCAGAAGGAAGGATAACTTGGCGGATTGTTCTAATTAATGAGTTCACTCGAGCTACATGCTGTTTGTTGAATCCACTTCAGGTGGCTTCTGCTAATTTGCGTCAGGGATTGGAAAGAGAATTGAGAGAAACCATGGCTGAGTTGGAGAGACTGCATGCTAAAGAAGACCAAGTTGAGATGGTGGTGAAACACTTGGAAAATGTGAAGGAATCCCAAGCTGAGAAGCTAGCAGCGCTGGAAGCAGAACTGAGAGGGTGTGTAGAGAAATAGTGATTTGCATACTTACATTTAGACATAGTTCTCACAAATGGCAGGTGATGTGAGCAAACCTGTACCTGAGCTATAGTCTTTCAAGCTGCAGGTGAAAAAGATCACATGACATATATTGATAAAAGTGTGTGTGTGTGAGAGAGAGAGAGAGAGCACACTAAGCCATTTTGTGCACATTGCTTTTAACTCAAAAGGTCTAGGGTACTTAAATGGAAAGGTTGCACTGGACTCAGAAACAAGCACTTGGGGGCACTGGCTCATAAAATTTTGAATAGCTTTGGGGGGCTGTTCTTAAAAAATACTGCTGTTCACTTTTTGACTCACCACTCCCCATCTCAGGAAAACTGAAGAGTTGGAGAAATTAGGTTCATTGCGCAGAAGTACCGTTGTGAAGATGCAAGAAGAGCATAGCAATACTCTGTGTAGGCTTGGGGAGACCGTTGCTGAATTTGAAACGTACGTAAGTCTTTGGGTAGTAAGTGGATGCTTTCATTTCTTCTCTGCTCTTGTGTAAATGGTGTGTTTCCCCTCTGTCTCCTTCTCTCCCCCTTTCACAGTTGACTTATTTTGGTTGATGCTGGTCTTAAGAACTGTAGAACATTGGCCTTTCCCCTTTTCCTTCGGCCCATGAAAACATCCAAGTCAGGACATGGTGATGGGATGGGCAAAGCAAATTGTGGGTATTGCTGTGCGGCATTGGATATCTCTCTGTGTCCGCCCGTCCACCCCCCAATGATTCTTATTTATTTCAGCTTTCATCTCCCATTAACACAAATCTGAACTCAACACTTGGAGAGGGTTTCAGGTCCCCGACTCCAGTTCCAGAGTTTTATCAAGGCAAACTGCTGCAGACACATTCATCTTGCATGTGCATTGACTTGCTTCTGCAACAAAGGATTTTGTGTTGTTAAACAGTAGTAGACACACTCTCTCTTTGGGATCCTTCCCAAAAGGCAGGTGGTGCTGGGGAGGAAGGAGAGCATCTAGGAGTAGCAGAAGCAGGGCAGTCCCTTTCCCCTGCCCTCATCTACCCCCTGGTATTGCTGCTTCTTATATGCCATAAAATGAGTATGGACTACCTTGTTGCCGTGTTACAAGGTTCAATATATTTAGCTAACTTTGCTGAAATGAGGGTGGGTGGGTAATTTAATAGCTGTCTATGACACCAACCTTGCTAGTCTCCCTTTTGGGAGGAGGCAGGAGTGGATAAATGGTTGCTCACTCCAGATGCTGTTGGGACTCCAATGCCCATCATCATATCCCAGTAGCATGCCCAGTGATTGGGTATGATGGGAGTTGGAGTCTGACAACATTTGGAAGGCTATAGGCTTCCCATCCCTGATGCAGGAGGGATAGAAAAATGGAAGGCATTATTTGACTAGCAGCATGATGGGGTTTTGCATGGCACATGAGGAAATTGGCATTAAGCCCTTGATAAAATCTTAATTCCCACGAGTGACTTGAATTCTGCTGTGCAGAGCTCTGAAGCAGCGTGACCCTTGTCCAGATAGTTTGCACCGGTGAAGGAAGTTTATCCTCCCCCCCCCCGACTCGATCTAAGCTGTTGGCATGTAGGCAAGGAGGAATGGGAAGAGTGAGTTGACCAATGCCAGAGGTGGGGGTGGGGCAAAGCATGAAGTGTAAGGCATGGCAAAGGAGAGCTTGAGCGCAGTGTTCAAGTCAAGCAGGAATGTAAATATTGTAACCCTTCTTAGTTACAAAGCTTTTGTGGTCCAAGAAATCACATCCCTCAAACAAGAGAAAACGGCCCTGCAGGACAGATTACTTGAGATGAGCAAAACTGTGCAGCACGTGACCCAAAAGATGGAAGATGCGCAGCTTGCAAAAGACATGGCGCAGGAAGAAAATGCAAGGTAAGGGTGATGATAAGAAATTTCACCCGATAGACCTGATGTGAAGTGGGATGATATTTACATGTGTTTGCTCAGCCAGATTTCTGCCTGTCTAGGCTAAAGAGTTGTTCGTCACTAGCACAGATCATAAATTATAACATATCCCCCCCCCATCAAAAGGTTTAGACAGAATAAGCTACATATTCATCTCCAAAGGCCCAAATAACAGCTGAGGGGAGCAGTCTTGTCTCTTGGTCCTATCAAAGAAAATCATGCATACAGGATAGGATTTGTATAATAATAATTGCAAATCCTTCGCATTGTACCAGTGTGTAAATTGCGTAACAGATTTGATCCTACAAAGTGAGGATCTAGTCAAAGTACTTGACTCTTGACTGACTTTTAGTACTTGACTCTCATGGCAATTTGTGCCATTTATCTATATGTTCATTCTATTTTTTTGCCGACCATCCATCAGGCGGAGAATTTAAAAAGCTCTCCTCCCTCCCTTTACCCACTCCCCACTTAGGATGATTCTGGATGCCCAGACAAAAGTAGCATTAAAAGATGCAGAAATAAAAAGAATCAAAGAATCGAATATTGTGGAAATTGCTAATCTGCAAGCAAAACTTGAAGAACAAAGTGAATATTTTAAAAAGCAACTTGAAATAGAAAGGTAAGTTTCACAAGTTTGAGTTTATTTCTGTGCTGTGTTCTGGCCAAAAAGGTGGCTCACAAAGGTTAAGAAGTATATGAAATTTGAGCAATAACCTTGGTTTACAAAAATTAAGACAACAAAATCCCAACAAGTGTGTGTGTGTGTGTGTGTGTGTGTGTATGAAAAATATACATGTCGCCCCACCTACCTAGAGACAAGAATGTCCAGAATGCCAGAGAGCAGAAATAAAGTTTTGGGCAGCCACCTTCCCACCATAGCTCCTCTTTTATAAGGATCCCAGGAAGGAGACTAGGGTGAAGCAGGTGTAAAAGCATGCTCCTTGATGCCCCCAATGCAGGCTCCCCTGGGTCTTGCATCAGGTAATTGGATCTCTGAAATGAGGAATGAATTGCACGGCTTCTGTTTCCTTAGGAGAACTGTTGCTGAAAAAGTAGAAGCTGATTGCAGAGAGAGCCTGGAAACATGGCGTACCCAGTACGAAGACCTGCTTAATAAAGTCAAACCCTTTCAGGTTAGTCTGATTAAAGCCATTAAGAGTCTAGATACTGCAAAAAATACCAAAATAAACTCTGGAATTTTCACTACTCTCCAGGTGCTCCCGCTGCCTTAAACCAGAGGTAGTCAACCTTTTTATACCTACCGCCCACTAATGCATCTTTCTTGATGGTAAAATTTCCTTACTGCCCACCAGAGCTCGATGGAAGGAGGATTCAGCTTGTGCCGTAGAACCCCCTACCGCCCACCTAGAATCCTGAAACGCCCACTAGTGGGCGGTAGGGACCAGGTTGACTACCCCTGCCTTAAACACTATTAGCTGTCGGTAAAATTCAGTGATGACCATACATGTGCAGTTCCCTTTCCCCTCTACGGCCCTCTATGCCTTCCAGAAACTTCTCTGGAGGGTTGGGGACCCTCAAGCAGATGAGGGGTTGATGTTGGATTTCATCTGGGGTGTGTGTGTGGGGGGGTAATTGGCAGTTTCGTTACTGAATTGGTTCTACAGTAAGGACACAGCATCTGAAAGCAACTCGAGTTTTGCTGATGGCTTGTAGTTCAGCCTATATTAAATGTTACATTTCAGAAACAACTTGATGCATACGAGGCGGAGAAGAATGCCCTTTTGAATGAGAACGGTGCTGCCCAAGAAGAGCTGAACAAACTTAGTGACGCATATGCCAAGCTGTTGGGCCATCAGAATCAGAAGCAGAAAATCAAACATGTAGTGAAACTGAAAGAAGAGAATGCACAACTGAAACAGGTTTGTGATATGCAGCATTGCTATGGCTTGGAGCAAAACAAACTCAGGAGGCTGAGTACCCATCAGTCTGGATGCAAAATGGGGGCCATGAAAAAAATCCAGCAATAGCCTGACACTGTGAGGGGTAGGGGAGATGGGATGAGGTACAAAGAAATGCATATGTTTTCAGCACCAGCCGGGCTTTTTAAGGTAGATTGTTGACATATTGAGCCACTGGCAATACATAAGGAGTAGCTGTTATACTGATTCTTTTAAGGTTTTTAGTGGAATTGCCTGTTTTTCAGATTAATGTACCCTACCATAGGTTTGCTTGTTTGAAGGGGGTGGGTTAAGAATTAGATGAAATAAACATGTGAATTAAAAGAAAATAGCATTTAAGGGAGGGAGGGGACTACTTCACAAGTTCCTGTCAACTGGCAGGATGCAGATGACTATTTTTGCACCTGGCTGGGGGCAGCAGGGAGTGTTGCAGAAAAGGATGTAAAGAAACCACAAGCCAGCCAAACTGAGTCTACCATTTCAAGGTCTGTGCTGAGAAAAGTTTGAGGTACGTGCCTGTCGGAACAAAGACAATGTGATTTATAGAGATGGGGTTTATTTTGCTATTCCTAATTTTTTGGCAATTAGACCCATTGAGTTTAGTCCTTTAAAAGCTGAACATATGCTTTCTGATAGTCATAGCCACAGAAGATTCTGCATGTGTCCTAGAGCTTTGTTTGATGTAGATATCTTTAAAAGCTGATAAAGCCTAATGGATTTTTACAATTGCCCGGTTCACATGTCACGTTAAACACAACGATTTAATGTGAATAGGTGCTGAAAAGTTCTCATTCAGCTCCCGTTGTTCTTTTTATGCCTCAAACCCAGGTCATGGTTTGCTTGCAGAGATGGAAACCAATACTGTAGTAGTAAACAAGGTTTGTTCTTGGCTTCCTGCTCATAGTTTATTTGGAGAGAAACAATTCACAAGGCCAGGCAGCATGACAAACTTGAGCCTGTATCAGCATGCTACCAGAGTTGTGTTTTTAATATGGCTTACTGTGATGTGGAAACAGAGCCAACAATAGTGTAAAGTGAGACCAGCCAGGAGCTATTTGCAGGTAAAAGTAAGGGAGAATTTCCTGTTGTACTGCCTAATGAAAGAGGGAATTTCAATTTTGGGAGTGCGGAGGAGTCAAAGAGCATTCTTCAAGGACTAATCTTTTCCCAATGATCCCATTATATTAAAACTAGATTTTTTTATGATAACATTGTTTGTACATACACAATCCATGAGTTAATTTTTAAGCTGTTGTGCATTTTAGGCCTTCAGATTGAGTGGAATTAAGTCGGATAAAGTTTAACTGAACCAGTTTTGAGTCACATCTTTTCATGTTGTCACCAAATTTGTTGTTTAACTTACATTGAAGTCTCCTGTTCTTTAGGAGGTATTAAAACTACGATCTCAAGTAGCAAAGGAAAAGAAAGTTCGTGGAGAGCTCGAGGACCAACTGAATGCGATTCAAGGCATCAAGCGATTCGATCCTTCTAAAGCTTTTCAGCATTCTGTCAAGGAAAATGTCAATCCAAAAACACCTTTTAAAGAAAGTGAGTCTGCATAAATACACCACAGTTCAAATTTCTCGTGTTTTTAAGGATGTTGATAATACTCCAATGACCTTATTTCTTTAATTTGTATTATCTTTTAAATTTATAATTATGTAATGAAGAGTAAAGCAAAAATGGAACTGAGGTGCAAGTAATTCCTTACCCAAATAACAAAAACCTGCCCCACACCTGATTATATGTAGGTCAGGCAGAGATATGGTTGCCAGTGCACAATCAGAAGCCTAGAAGGGCATTCCTGATAGTGTGTTGGCAAAACAAAGCAGGTTTAATCTCTACCACCTCGCAGGGAACTCCTTCATGCATCTGTTGCCTAGGCGGTACATGTGCTGTGAGGCTGGATCCTGAAATTTCTGGCTTGCAGATCCATAAAAGGTTCCCACCCCTGGCTTTAGAGACTTACACAGGGCTATTTAGCAGTAGTCCTGTGGTTTTTCTTGATCTGTATTTCCATCCTAATATTTCCTGCATTATTTCTGAACTGTTCATGTCTGTCATGCACAGGCAGGCAGTCACTAAGAAGGCTTTTTCAAGTATCTAACAATGTCTTTTCTGTACAATAGGTAACAAACAAAATCCAGCCTTGTTTCTGACGAACAGACCATGAAACAAACCCACATGTTGCTGCTTCATATGTGAACATAATGCAAGTCTTGACCTTTAAATTCAACTGGATGGTGTCTTTAAACATGTGCTTTTAAAATCTCTTGAAATTAAAGCAACTATTAAAGATCTCCTTTCACAGTGTCCTTTTTTTCTTTTGCCTAGAGAGAAACTTGCCATAGCACTGACATACTTGAGGTAGCAGCAGGACCCAATTAGACATTTTCTATGTGCCATTGCATCTAATATTTGCAGGTGTTTAAATTCTAAAAACACATGTCATGCTTGCTGTGTAAAAATCAATGCTACAAGGCTATGTATCCCAAGTGCCACTTGTTTACTGTAACAGAGGCTATGCAAGTATTGTATCTTTCTGCAATTTAGAAATTGAAACAGTCGTTTCGGTTTTATCATTCTATGTTAGAATAGCTCAGTTATGAATGTGCTATTTTCTAGATACTGGCAATTTAAATTTATGTTTTTTGAAAAAATAAAGTGGTTTGTAATACTTAAGATGTTGGAATTTTTTTCTTCAGCTTGAAAGGCGTGGAAATAAAATGTGTTTGGAAATAGACTTTGTTACCAGTAATCTGACTTGAATGGTCTTTCTGAAGGCCCTAGTGATTCTGAAGCTGCATCCAGACTGCATTTTGCAAGCAGAATGGCTACTTTTATTCACAAGACTGAGATATAGCAGGTGTTCCCATTGGAAAGACAAAAGGGAAGCCGTTTTTGCTGAGGCCCCTTTACATACGCAACCCTCTATCTTACCTTAACGCTGTTCCAGAAGATTTCCCAACTTTCCGGGGTTGCAGAGAAGAGGATTTAGCAATCCCCTCTTCTTTTTCCCCCTTCCTCCATTTTTTCTAGTTCTCTAATTCTACTCGTGGACACTCAGTCTTGCAAATTTTGTAGGCTTGGTGCTCCTTACTTCACACCCATCCTGGAACAAAATAAAAATGAACAAACATGCTTTTTTCCAAATGAGAAAGGGCTACGGACAGAGGTCTTGGCCATTGGTTAACTTGTTCAGGTCTGTAGAGTATGTTACATTTCTCGCCCTTGGTTCTCTAACTTGCCATGTGAGGGAGATCAGGCTGTGACATCTGTCACCCCACTGATCACCAGGGTTGATTTGGCTGATCTGGCTGGCTAGGCGGGTGTCCCCTTCCTCCCTCACTGCTCCATGTACGTCCTTCCTGAAGCTGCGCACTCGGTGGATGAGGACAACCATCCCAGATAGGAGTGTACTGTTCTTCAGTCAAGGGTATACAATAGATGCACTCCCCTGAAAGAACTTCCAAACAAGCAGATGAACTAAAAATTATAGACAAAGTTCTAACATTTATCTTTTCAAAAGTCAAGTTACTATACAGTGGTACCTTGGGTTACATACGCTGCAGGTTACATACGCTTCAGGTTACAGACTCCGCTAACCCAGAAATACTACCTCGGGTTAAGAAGTTTGCTTCAGGATGAGAACAGAAATCTTGCTCTGGCGGCACGGCAGATGCAGGAGGCCCCATTAGCTAAAGTGGTGCTTCAGGTTAAGAACAGTTTCAGGTTAAGAACGGACCTCTGGAACGAATTAAGTACGTAACCAGAGATACCACTGTACTGGCTCCCTCCCCCCCCCCCCCAAGGATCACTTCAGAAATGGGTGATTTGTAATAATGAAAAACCCACCCTCATTCCACAAAGAGGCTTTTGTTGTGCACTGGCCGCTTTTATTCACTGCCATTTGCAGAGCGCCCCATTCTTACATTGTTTTAAAATCAGGAACAAAGTTCATTTAAACAGACGCTGTCATGGTATGCCATGCCACAAATTTTTAAAGTCAATTTCCCCATTTTGATGCAGATCACAGTTCTTGGCTGGATGCCTCACCCATTTGCCCTACTTTGGTTCCAGGACTGCTTCCTGCACATCACTGCAGCGCTTGCTCTAGCTGTACAAGAAAACAGTATCCGGCACCAGGAAAAAAACATGTATTTTCATTTTGGCAGTGGGTAGGTTTGGCAGCCTGAGCCAAGGTGGAAGGGCGACCTGTGCTTAAATTGACAATGTGAGGCTGCTGCATGATGCCCAACACTTTGCAGTGCTGGTCTGCGTGTTGAAAGCAGATTTTTTTATTAAGAAATAAAATAAACAGCATTCCAAACAGGGCCCCTTGACTGAAGGGTAGGCCGAAATACGTGTGCGGTAAATGGAAGCAAGAAGACTGGAGTGTTTACAGCTATACGGCCAAGGAGCTTGAGCGCTTAGACACTGCGAACGGGGATTAAAGGAGGGGGGAGGGGGGAAGTGAGTGAGCTCGACGTGTTCCGTCGCGCAAGACTCTCGAGGGGCTCGCGCGCCGCCCCGTTCTAGAGGGACGGGCCAATAAGCGGGCTGGCCTTGAACGTGTCCCAACGGCAGCCGCGCGCGCGTCCGCCCGCCCCTCTGAGGCCCCACCTTCCCAAGGCGAGGGAGCCTATGGGCTGCGGGGCTGCCGAGTGGGCGTGCCCTGTGAATGGCTGCCGCCGCCACCGCGAAAGTGGAGCTGAGCGCGAGCGGCGGGCGCGGACTGAGGCAGGCGGAGGGATGGTCGGGTGGGAGAAAGGGCTCCGGATCCGCTTCGAGCCCGGCAGGTGCTGGCTGGAGGAGGTGAGGCAGAGCTGGCGGCTTTGGGCCTTCTTCCCCTCCCTCCCCTCCCTTCCTTCTCTCCGCGGGAGGTAAACAGATACTAGCCGCGCCCCCTGAGCGGGGTGGGGCGAACCGAGGTGGGGCCGCTGCTGCTCGGGGGTCTGGGAAAGCTTTGTAACCGCCAGCCCAGCCCTGCAGGGTAGGCCTCCGCTTGGGTGTTAAGAAAAATCCACCCCTGGGTTGAGTGGCACTAACTTACTCCTTACGATCCCAAACACAACTTACCTGAGAGCAGCCTCCGTCGAGCTAAGATGGGGGAAGCCTCAGGGCAATGGTGATAATACAATAATCCGATTTTAGGTGTCCCACTGTGCGCAACGGGATTTACTTTCAGGCAGTGCTTTTTATCTTGTTTAGGGTTACTCTCATTTTGACTCCAGAAAATCACCATTTGACAGGCCAAATCGGGAAAAATAAATACAATAAATGGACAAAAGTACAAAGATTCACAAAATGTTTAGGGGTATGCGTACACCCCCAAAAGTACTTCTTTCTGTTGTAATCACCACCCCCAAGGCCTTATTGCTGGGCTGGGAAAGGGAGGGCGAAATGCACGCTTCAGATGTTGCCTGCCTGAGAGGAAGCCTCGCTCATCGTAGTAGGATTTTGCTCCAAGATCAGGATCAGTTTGTTAAAATGTTTTCCATGCCCTCTGTCTTAAGTAAAATAAAATAAAAATTCGTGGGATTTCTGACCGTTAAGATGCCCAGTGTGGGTTGCAACAGCAGTGGGATCCTACAGCAATTAAAAGCAAATAAAACAATACAAAACCAAAACTGGAATAACAGCTTGTCACTGGTCTCTCTCTGTAACTAACAGCCCCTTCCCTGTGCTTGTAACTTGGAGTGGGGGAGGTGGAATGGGGAACTAGTCATTCATCCCCCGCCCTCTTTTTAAGTATTTGATTCTGAACCATGCCTGTGATGTACTTCCTCACATAGCTGGAAATTCCACTTCAACCCACATATTTGAAAGAATATTTATTTTGATCATTCCAGTCACCATTTTTGCTATGCAAAGAAGCTTACTAAATTAGCTGCCTGGGAATTAGCCTTTTGCTGGAACAATTGTAAACATTATCTTTATTTATACGATATATTTAAACAGTCCCTTTTAATGCAAGTCAGTTTCTGTAAACAATAGTAAGATATGTCCTTCTGATGCTAGAAGTGTAAAGCTTGGCGCTATAAACAATCTAAGGTTGTTGTCTTCAGTATACTATGGGCTGTTTGTGCAGTCCTGTGCATGCTTCCTTGGCATAAGTCCCATTGAACTCAGTGGGGCTTGCATTGGAGTAGACTCACACAGAAGGTCCCCTAAAGCCTTCTAAAACAAATACTAAACTATGGATTAAGTTTTGTTAAGAATATAGAAGATAACCATTTTCTTTTTTTACAGGAGGATGTTGATACGCCAAACAGACGTGTTCTGATTACTGGTGCTACTGGGTTGCTTGGCAGATCTGTGTATAAGGAATTTAAAGGAAATAATTGGAATGCTGTCGGTTGTGGGTACAGCAGGGCTCGACCAATGTTTGAGCAAGTTAATCTTCTAGATACTACTGCTGTTCACAATGTCATCCAGGATTTTCAGGTGAGAATGGTGGAAAGAAGGATAAAGCGGCGAACCACCATGTTTCGCTGAAGGTTTCTTCAGCAAATTCATGTTAGTTGGTCACATAAAGTTTTACTGATTATTGATGTCCACTATCTATCACAGCAATATTTAGCTTTGTTTATGTATTCCCCCCCCCCCCCCGCTGTAATCTCTGATGCAACCCTTGGTGCACCTTCTGTATATGAGGTACATGATATGAGGAAAACTAGTGTGCAGGAAAGTAGCTATATACTAGTAGTCTAGTAGAACCTAGAAAGCCTTCTTTAGAATAACACTGCAGAATAAGTTGGGCTTCTCACTTAGAGAGTGATTAGGGAATTCCTTTCTTTTGGTTATGCAAATTGCATGCACAAGAAAAATGGGGAAAAGAGCACCTCCAATGAGCAAAGCAAACAAAGGAGACGGAAGGCTCCTGTATTCACTGATATAAGAACTATTTTATTTTCGCTCACTGTGTTTCAGAGTATAAGGACTCCTTCTAGAGCTTGAGAAATGTTAAAGTTTGCCAAAAAATTTAAAAAAAAAATTCTTCATATCTAAACCGCTGCAGAAACAGCTTAAAGAAATGTCTGAGCAAAAAAGATGATTTTCTTTCTCCGCATCTGTGTTGAGCCTTACAACTTAGTCAGAGATGATCTAGAGTAAATTTGCACTTTAGATGTGGTTTACTCCATGGGACTATTTTCTGCTAGCTTTCCATGAACAGTGTGGATTTGGTACAACTACTTGCTTGTTCTTTGCTCATTAAAATGGGTGTTTAATTTCCAGCCTCATGTGATAATACATTGTGCGGCTGAGAGAAGGCCAGATGTTGTAGACAGTCAACCAGATGCTGCTTCTCAGCTCAATGTGGCTGCTTCAGGGAACATAGCAAAAGAAGCAGGTAAAAAAGGTTTGGTCTGAATTTCTTCTCAGGATGCATAATTATCTTTTATGTGTCATCATAAGTATGGGTTATACACCTGAACTTAAAGAATTCTTACCACAAGAAATGTATCATTAGCTGTTTGAGTAACATGCATTGATGGAGGCCTCGGATAGCCGGAACTGGCTGCCAGCTGTTGGAATCAAATTCTGGGTTAGAAATACTTAGGTCTTTCACAATCACGTAAATATTTGCTGTTTGTGTGTTTTAAATTCTTGGAGAGAATAAAGATAAAGAGAGTAACTGCTTTGTATTTACATCTCTTCATATTGCTTTAATTTATTCTTTTTATAGCTCAAGTAGGAGCATTTTTGATCTACATTAGTACGGACTATGTATTTGATGGAACAAATCCTCCCTATAAAGAGAATGATGCACCAAATCCCCTAAATCTCTATGGGAAAACTAAACTAGAGGGCGAAAAGGCAGTTTTAGCAAACAATGAAGGTAAGTGTCAATTTACAGCTGGTAAGGTTTTCTTTAACAGTTAAGGCTTGAAATCTTTTACTGGATTTCCATAAATAGGAGTAAATGGATTTGGAAGTTCAATTTTATTTTATTTTCAAAATAAGAAACATATTTTAAAATGGGGAGGGGGTTTAAAAGGAAGCTGTAGAGAATAATTAGAATCAAGTCTCTTTATAAAGTTTTGAGATTATGTAAAACCAATATAACAGAAGGTCAGATAAAATGTATACCACTGAGTTGAAATGGTAAGAGAGAATGGTAGCATTGTTAATTAATTGTTGAGGTTGAGGTTAGGGGTAAGGAGCAGAGGAAGCTATAAAAGTCTTCCTTTTTTAAAAATAATAATTTGAAAACCTTGTTGAGAGGGGAACAACTAGGCACAAACTCTAGCAAGACAAATGAAATTTGAGAATAAAAAGTGGTTGGAATTCAGAACACCTGTCATTTCCAAATAACTAGAGGTAGTTCTTTAGTGAATTTCTTCTTACCCCTTTCATTTGCACCTCATATCAATCCATCAAAGATTATACAGTCGTATCTCCACTTATGTATTCCTCCGGTTACGTAAACTTTGGGATTCTTAAGCGGCAAACCCGGAAGTATATTTTCAGGTTTTTGCCGTGCATGTGTTCGCAGAAGTGGTCTCTCTGGTTGCAAAAATCTTGGGATCTGGCTGGACCTCCGGTTATAGATCCCATCCGCAACCAGAGGTACCACTATGCTGAGATTTGAACTTCTGCAAGACTTGCTAAAATAGAGTAGATGATGACAAAAGCAATACTGTTAGTGTGCCAAAGGCAATAATGATGCATGTTCTCAAGTTGCTCTCTGGTAACTTCTGTTGGGTGTCAGAATGGCCACAGCAGCTTTCACCAACTTCCAGCTGTGCTGGTCGGAGCTGGTGGGAACTGTAGTCCAACAACATGTGAAGAGCAAGGCTATATGTTTTGTAGTGGCAAACTAGATGATCACCTCAGTTTCCTAAGTGATTTGTATTGGTATTGGTGGCCTAGAAGCTGAGGATTCTATTTATTTATTTGTTTTCTTTACCAAATGTACTGGACACCCAATGGCTATTGTTCTGTGAGTGTTGTACAAAAGGTGGTGGGGAAAATTAAAACAACATACAGAAACATTCATTACCTACTGTACATTAATGAGTATCAGGAAGTCATGCTTGACAAAACTACATAAGAAAGAAAGGAGCCATAAAGTTTGGGGCCATATGAGAATACATCACTGGGAGGTCTAACTAAGGGTTTATTCCATTTCTTATTTATCCTAACTGCTCCTTTTCAGTGTTTAATGTCAAGGCCAAGGAAATTCCCAATCACTGCCACCTGCTGGCAACTCTCTGCTATTTATCTTGCTTTTTATTTTGCCTCATTTTATAGTTTTAGAGCTTGGTACTGAAAGGGAGATTAAAGGCCTGTGTGCTAAAGGGAAGGAGTAAACTGGGTATGGGGAAATTGTTGGGGAGAAAAGAAAATAGGATTTTTGGAGGGGCATTGAAGAAAAGAAAGAGCTTGAAAATCATACATCCAGAGTATTATGCACTTTTCTGCTTACTCCATCTCAGAAGTCAAAATGTAGTGCTGTAAAAGGAGCAGTAAAAATGTCCAGGGGGTTAGCACACCCTCCCTATGCAGAAAAGCTAAACTATTTGGTGGGATTTAGTTTAGCAAAAATGACTACTGTGATCAGGATGGAGGAACATGACACAGGCTTATTAATTACAAATGATGAGAGAATTTATACAGAGAGATTTTTTTCCTCCTCCCCAAAATCTGTGATCTCTAGATTATCTAGTGAAACTGATTAATAACAGATTCAGGACTAAAACTATTTCCATGCACAGGGAGAAATTCAACATAGCACTGAGCAGCTGCTGGGCAGTAGAGCCAAAGCCTGCTGAATTTCCTGTATGTGGCACTTTGAAGTCTCAATTTTGGGGCTTCAAAGTGCTCAATCACCTGATAGCATTGTCATGTCAGGTGACTGATGGATGGGTAACCCCACTCATCTGTCAAATTTGGCCTGCAAGGCTAAGATCCCTGATAAAAGTTCTCACCTGGAGAGCTGAAAAGATTCCTAACCCTTTTTAAGGATTGTACAGAGCAATAGAGTTCATTGGCTGGGTAATCATTAGAAACAAGCAGATCCCTGTCATCTGTATTGTATAGTGATACTATTAGCTGAATCCAAAGCCTCTGTTTAGACAAGTTGACTCGTCCCAATTGGATCCAACTTCTGTTTTAAAAATGTGGATGTCAGATTTCTCAGTTGTTAGGAATGGTAGGTGGAGGGATACATGATAGCGAGAACTCACTGAATGGCTACCAGATTTAGCTCACCAGTTTGCGTGCATTCATGTAATGCAGGGCTGACTGAGAACAGGTAACTCGCAACTTACACACATTTTACTTGCACACATTCAGCTTTATGCGCTTGGCAAACAAAGGGCGCAAGCATCCAGGGAAAAAAGACACTGGCAATCCCACCCGCCATTGACCCCATGTGAAGTCTATGTGAATTAGGCTTTATGTGATATCCCCAGAATATAATTCCTACATAACTTGAAAATCACCTGTAATGAGTGTTTGCAGTCATTTTGTTGCTTACTTTGGGTTGGTAGTTAACTGCAGGTTTGTTGTAGAACATTCTCATATACTGGTGACACAGGATTTCAAGGAGAAAAAATTAGTTTTATGATGGGGTAACAGTAGATGTTGACTTATACCATTATTTCTTTCCTACTTATCATGTGGATCCTGGGCATCTTTTCTATTGCATGGTAAGGTGTTTTTGATGTAATTTAGCACTTCTTCCTTGCATAAGTGTACATAATCTGAAGTTTTCATCTGAAATCTTCACACCCACCGAGATTTATTCTCTTTTCCACATAAGTAGACTTGCCTTTTCAAGGGAGTGAAGTGTCTTGTAAATAGTTCAAAGGTGGTTTAATTTTCTTTTCAGAGATGAGCTGAGGAATTTTCATTGTACCTGTTCATAAATACAGCTTTGTATTCATAGCTTTTCTCATCTTCTAGGTGCTGCTGTGCTTAGAATTCCTATTTTATATGGAGAGGTTGAAAGGTTGGAAGAGAGCGCTGTGACAGTTATGTTTGATAAAGTGCAATTCAATAATAAATCAGCCAATATGGACCACTGGCAGCAGAGGTTTCCCACCTATGTCAAGGATGTAGCCAGTGTTTGTCGACAGCTAGCAGAGAAGAAAATGTTGGTGAGATATTCTTAAAATAAATTTCAGCCAGGATTTTTCGGACTACTTCACATATTATCATATGTGTAAAATTGTAGTAGTACTAGTAGTGATTCTGTGTTTTTATGATGTATTCAAGATTTCAAAAATACTGTGGGCTGTATCCAGTGGTGCCTTCACACTAATGGATGACTTCTGTTGCAAGGACATGGTTCCTATTTTCACCAATGCGTCCCGTCCCCCGTCCGACCCCCTGTTGCAGTCCTCTATGTGATTCCATCTGGACCAGATGATGCTGTGCAAGTGACTGGACACAGTGATGGGCTGGATGATAGCCAGTAATAAACAATTATGATAAGATGGGGGCTTTGTGGGTAGGTGGTTCCTAGGTTTGGGAATTAAGTAGATAACCTGTTCTGGTCAGGGTAGTACTCCTCTTAAAGAACAGATGGGTAGTCGGGGTTTTTTCCTGGTTTGCAAACTGTCACTAGAGGTTAGAATTGGAAGGGATCCTGAGGATCATCTAGTCCACCCCCCTGCAGTGCAGAAATATGCAGCTGCCCCATACAGGGATCAAACCTGCAACCTTGGTGTTATCAGCACCATGCGCTAACCAACTGGTTTGTGTGGCCTCCATGGTAAGGAATGCTTGTGCCCACCTTTGGCTGGTTTGCCAGCTATAACTGTTCTTGAATTGGGATAATCCAGCTACAGTAGCTCCTGCTATAATAACCTCCTGATCTGAGTATTGCAATGTGTTCTACAGAGGCCTTCCTTTGAAGATGGTCTGGAAGCTGCAAAAGATGCAGAATGCCTCATACTGTTTCTTTACGGTGGTGAGATGGGGTCATGTTACACTGATCCTGGAAACACTTCTGGCTGCCCATGAATTGCCTGGCTTAATTCATGGTACTGGTGTACAGAGCACTGAATGGCTGAGGACCCAAGTACTTGAATGAATGCCTTCCTCAGTACCAGTAAACCAGGCTTTGAGATTTGCAGGGGAAGGTTGCTTGCCATGCCTCTGGTAAATATGGCCTGGGGGAGGGCACAGTATATGAAGAAGGGTCCTCTCAGTGGCAGCAGCCCACCTGTGCAACTCTGTTCCTGTTGAAAGGAGATTGTTCCCCAGGTGCCAGTTTAAGACCTACTTTTTCCAGCAAGCTGTAGTAATCTATTGCTTACCAGCATATTGTATTCTATATTTTATTTTGCATTGAGGTTTCAACTTTTAATGTTGCATTTTGTTGTTGTTGTCATGAGAGGAAGGGAAAGCTGCAAGAACTAATAATATTTCCCACTGTTTTTGAGCATCCAGAACCCTACGGGGAAGCTTTTGGAAGGCATGGGGGTGCACTGGGTATATGCCCCGCTTTGCACAAGGGGAAGTGTTTGTGCTATCACAAAGCTACCATTGGGTACAACCCTATGTTAACTGTTACAACTAGTCTTGAATACTGTAAGAGTGGGCAGGGTGGTGGTGCTCAGCTGACCTCCCATTGCCCATGTTGCTGTTGCTTACCTGGAAGTAAAGGAGAAGGGGGCAGCTAGGACAGCCCAGTGGAGATGCACTAGCTTCACCTCCCCCATCCATTTTGCAGGCAAGCAAAAGCAATTCAGGCAACAGGAAGTCAGGTGAGCAGCCTCGCCCTACTAACCAGTACTTTTTGTAACATTCCCTCTGAATGCAGTAACATAAGAAGCACTATTCTGTTCAGAAGAAGGCTAGATTGTGATGTGGTAGGCATTATAGAAACGATAGATGGGTTGATATTTTGACTGGAATTTTTACCAGGGACTAGAAGAATGGTGGCGGTGGCAAAGGGGGATTATTTTTTGGGTCAGTAAATGTGCTGGTGGCAAGAAAGTATGATCTAAGGTGGACCTCTGAGGTTAGAGTGCAGGCATTCTCTGAGGACACAGCTACATGCTGCTTGGGTGGGGTTCAGTTTTGCTTTGGCAGCACATTCACTGTGGAAAACATGCTGTCAAAGCATCTGCTCATCAGCTGGTAAGTCGAGAGTTCAGTCTTGCTAGGTGCTGGTTCACCCAGAACAGTATGTTCACGGTGGGAGGAGATGGTTCCTTCAGGTAAACAAAACTGTTCACACTGACAGAGCAATCTTCTTAGTGCAGTATTGAATTCCTCTGTAGGAGGAATGCATAAGCTGCTGATTTAATGCTGACTATACTAGGAAGTTGCATTCAGGTGCATGTAACCTTCAGAACACTTGCCAGGGTTTTTAAACTAAAGGTAGTTCTTCCCCCTGCCCTTCTGTTGACCTTGCATCATGATAGCTTTATCTTGGAATGAGAGGTGATATTGCAGTAGAAATGCTTGGCAAGCAAGTTCTAGTCATTGCTTATACACAAGAGATTATAATTGCTCTAGATTGTGGCAGTCTTTTCATATAAACATAGAAGAGTAAGATGTGTGAAGTTTTGCTTTCTAAAGGAAGAAAACTGCCGCCCAGATTTTTATTTTATTTTATTTATTTTTTTACAATACTTGGTTGAACTGATGTAGTTCTAGGGGGGAAAAACCCTCAGTAGTTGAGTGAAATAGAGTGCAATAGAGAAGTGGAGAGAGATCTGGTGGATTACTGTTTTTAAAAGAATAATTGGCCTTGGCTTGATCCAGCAACGTAATGATTTTGTTCTTATGTGGACAGAGATTTGCTTGAAATGGAACACAAATCCTTTTTCATAGCAAAGCTACTACTCAAAGAACTGTGGAATATAGAAAAGAGCCAGGGATATTGAGCTTCTTGTTTAGTATAATATTCCAATAACATGGTTATGAACAAGGTGGTTCGCTGCTGTTGTGTTTTCTACACATTTTCTGAAATAACCACATGGCTAAACAAGTAGTTCTATAGGGGGGACAAAATATAAGAAGGCATATAGAAAAAAAAAGATTGCTCTTTGAACAAATCTAAGAGTGAGCTAAAACTGAATGTTTTTACTCTGCAGAAAAACACAAGGCTGGGAATTGCAATTAGGCAGAATATTTATTTATGGAAAAATAAGTTCTCTTTGAGTTAGGGTGGCAAAATTGTCATGATCAGCTTTAGAATGATCATATGTGAAATTCTCTGTTTTGCAAAAACTTATCTGGGTGATCCAGATATGTTAGATTGACTTAAAGCTTGCTTTTCAAGTTAGCCTTAAAGGGAATGTTCTCTAGCTTTGTTTATGGTGTTTTCTCTGTATTTATTTAACACCGTAAAATAAACAAGAACATAAACTTTGTATACTTCTCTTTTTCCTTAGGATCCATCAATAAGAGGAACGTTCCACTGGTCTGGTAATGAGCGGATGACTAAATTTGAAATGGCATGTGCTATGGCGGATGCTTTCAATCTTCCCAGTAGCCACTTGAGACCAGTAAGTCATAGTGTATAACCCCTGACACAGAAAGAAAAAGGAATGTGCAAGAAAAACTCTCACAAAGTTTTATCAAAGGCAGAACTTTCTCAGGAGTAATATTGCACAATGCAATATAAAATAATTGCAAAATGTTCACCAGCTGTGGTTTGGCTGTTCTCTTACACCGAGGGTCCCAACTGAGGCTCCTTAGAGTCCCACTGTCTCTCATTTCATCAGAGACAGATGGTGAGCTTGTCACCTTGGTAAGCTCAGGGCTCCTTCCATCATCAGACATGCTTTGTGAACAGTTTGTTCAGATTCAGGGTTCCTGTTGTTCTGTCCTTAGAGTGCAGCCAATACTACTTCAGTTTCTTCTTTAGGTGGCGGAACAAGCTTCATAATTTTCTGCTTCCTCCCCTAATTGTTCTAGGTAGAGCCTTCTAACCTCTCACACAAGCAGCCCCTTCACTGGTTACAGGCCTCTCACCATACCCTCAGAAGCTTCTTCCATTTCCTTCTCCTCCTCCCTGCTTCTCTCCTCTGCATCAGCACTCCTCCTCCCTGCTTCTCCTCCTCTGCATCAGCACTGTCCGCTAAGTCCACTAACCCAGCACATGCAGCTAAGGGAGATTATTCCCACCTGACTACAATTTTTGACTCTTCATTATATAATAACTAAAATAATTTATTTCTTGTACCCTCCTATCTGACTGGGTTGCCCCAGGCACTCTGGGCAACTTTCAACAGAATTTAAAAGAACACAACAAAACATCAGACATTAAAATATGAGTCTCAGCAGTTCTTTCTACCTTAGCCTTGGAACTGACCACTCCTTTGGTAGCTGTAGGCGACAGGGAAATGCATGCAGGCTAGCCCATGGAATTACAGGCTGGCAGACGATGGGCAGAATGCGCTATTCCTCCCTCTTCCCAGCCAGGCTACCAGGGGAGAGAAGTAGTGTAGAAATGCAGCAAGCTCATGGTTCCTCCTCTGCCATCAGCTAGTAAAACTTCGCAGACTTTTTGGTTTGGGTGAGGAAGGTGTATGCTTATTTGCAAGACTGCTGTGCCTTCTGCAGCATCTTTCCAGTGAGCGGAAGAGGCTGCAGTGGAAAGTCCCAATGTGTATGATGGGCTCTCTGGATTCCTAGGACAATGATTTGTCAAAGAAGACTTCTGTATCCCCTTTTCCATACTAGTAAAAACTAGTGTTCAATGCAGAGTAAGGTTATGGGAAAGCATTTAGGCTATCCTACATTGCAGAATTGTGAGTGTTTTCCTGAGAAGAGATTTCTTCATTTTTATTTTTTGTTCTAGACAGAGTGCATATTTCTCTTTTACTGCCTATTTTTATTTTTAAAGATTACAGACAGCCCAGTTGTGGGAGCTCTTCGTCCCAAGAATGCTCAGCTTGACTGTTCTAGACTACAGATGTTGGGCATTGGACAGCACACTCCATTTCGTGTTGGGATCAAAGAATCACTCTGGCCATTCCTTACCGACAAGAAGTGGAGACAGACGGTCTTCCATTAGTTGGAAATATTTTAGAGCATGTATGGTATGAGGCACTTTTTAAAAGGGGGGGGGGGGAGAATGGTTTTGTATTGAGTGTTCTATGTTACAAGTTTAATTCAATCAGGTAAAAATATGGTCTTGCACTAGTGAACTTATAAGAGGTGTTGGCAAAAAAGAACCTTGTTCGAAGTGATTGCTATTTCTTTCTGTTCCGTCACTGGTTTCTTTAAATATTTAGCAACCTCTGAGTACTACAACCATCAGTAATGGTTGAGATGAGATCCGGTTTCCTGAAATACACTGTTGTTTTATGTGTCTTCGATTTCAAAAGAGTATCTCTCTTAACATTATTTCCCTATTTGCCAAAATAATTAAAATAAAGCACTGGATTTTGGCATTTCATTTTTAAAAAAAAGCTATTCTGATGTGATTGAAATGGAAGTGAGAAGTTTGGAGTTTGCTTTAGCTGTGATCAAAATATTCTAAAGTAATGCTTTATTTTTGCAATTAATGTGCAGCTTTAATGCTTGAAAGATGTTCTGTATTTTGAAATCCAACTGCCTTCTTACATTTGTACAAAATAGTTCATATATCTTTCTGTCACATGCGCGCTGTTAATGAGCACACTGGTTCATAGTGGGTGTCGGAGGCACAAAATACAAACATTGCTGTCTTTTCTTTATTGGTGTTTCTGAGAACCCCATAGAACCCAGAAAATTATTAGATGTTCTCATTAAACAACCAGTTTACACATTGTATCAGAATTGTCATTGTTTCAGTTGGACCAAAAGAGCTATACCAATAGAACTATCCCTGGTTGTTCTTTCCTCATTGCATACATGCAGATAAGATGGCTGCATTAAGTATTTGTACTAGCCTATTTCTGAAGAGAAAATTCTATGCTTACAGTGAGAAAGTTCAAAACTATTAATGCTGTTCAGCATGAATGTCTAGCTTAAATGGCAAAGTGACTTTTGTGTAAATTTTGTGTTCTTACTTCAATAGAGTGTTAGGGTGTACGTATTGAAACCAGGCTTTTTACTTAAAGCAAGAAAACCTAAGGCATCTTGTGGCAGGCGTATCTTTTCTCTCCTCTGCTCTCTCCTCTGTCTCCTGACCAAGGTAAAGCATCCAACAAAAAACCTTCTAAAGGTGGTGAAACAGCGTCAGTCAGATTCATAAAATATCTCTAAGCCATTCATATTGTCATTCCCTTTCCATAAGGACATATCCTGACTTGTTTGTCTTAGTCTGACAGTCTGACATCTTGATATGCACTTGGTAAGTTATAAATGCAAAACGACATTAAATATATATAACTGGCATGGTATCTTGTGTCTTCATCATTTCTTGTGGAAATTTCTGGCTGTGTTAGGTTTTTGGGAAGGCTGTTGTTACTTAAGTGTGTGAACATTTACACTTTTTATAAATTTCATCCTCCAAATTAACAAGTCATCAGTTCATTGTCTCTATTCCAACCAATTTTCCAGTAGGCTAGTTGAGAACATGATCACAGAATATACTAATCTAGTGCTGATGCTAGAATTTTGATGGCTTTTGGCATGGCACTCTCAGTGCTCACGCATTCACCTGAAAAAAGTTAGGGCATGAAAACTGAGCGATTTGTTTCAGGAGATTTGATCATGTTTATACTGCTAACTACAAATGATATTGCTATTTGACTGGTGGCCCCATAACAGTCAAGTGACTAGGAATATCATTTAGCCTTCTTAAGAGCATTTGGAGAGCCACTAAAAATTAGGTGCTCAAATTTGGTCATGGTTGTGTTACATGCTTCACCTGTGGCCTAGAATGTACCTCCCATCCTTGATCATTGGCCACTGCTTTTCAAAGCTATGGATTAAAAACATAGAAGCCATAGCTATACAATGCATGTATACCCTCTGCAATATTTATACATTTGAAATCGTCACACATAGCTTGCATGCTAATCCTTATGTGGAAGTGTTTCCATCTAAGGATTTTGTAATGTGCTGTGCCCTTAGGTATTTTCAGTCTTGGAGGATATGTTGCCCCCACTGCTTACACCTTCCTATATTCCTGTGTCTTTTGAAGCCTCCATTTGCTGCTTCTGCCTGTTATAAAGTGCTCCTCCTTTTACAGCCACTGTAGTACAAATTAGTTTGTAACTTGTTATCATGAGTTTCAGACGAGGAAATGGAAAAGAAAATGTGTTGGCCGAGTAGTGCCGCGTGATATTAATATGAGATTTTTGTTACGAACTTTTTTGACATTTGTGTTCCCTGCAAGTGATAAATGTTGGGTTTGAACAGAAACAAGGAATTGGGGTGTCACATGCCAGCAACTCCAAATTGTATACACCAAGCATGATGCGAGAAAATAAATGGGCACACAGATTCTGATATTTCGAAAACTAGTGGAGGAACATTCTGGTCCCGCAGTGTCTTCTCTGGGAAGAATTCAGTGTTGCACTTCTCTTATTGTTCATCACTGCCATCATTTCTGCTCACCAGAGAGAACAATCCCACACCTTTCCTCTCCCCACGCTGTTCTGGGGGCTCCTCTGACACCCCCCCCCCCAGAGTGGATTTGGGGGTGGAGGGCACATAGTGAGTTTCTGCTAGCATGCTGTATTAGTTGAATCCAGCCCTCTGATCTTAAGTTAACCATATGAAAACAAGCTACAGAAGAATACAGACTCCTGAAGTTGCCGTGCTCAAGTTCATAAGGAAAACTCAACACTTTTAAAAAAAAGACTGAATGGCTTTCTTGCTACAGCAGGTACTGTATTTTCTGGGGTATAAGACTACTTTTTAACCCAGGAAAATCTTCTCAAAAGTTGGGGGTCGTCTTATACGCCGGCTACAGAAGCAGCTCCTGCAGCAACTCCCCACCAAAGGACAAAACAACAGCAAATTAAATCAGAGGACACCAAGCTCTCTAGATGAAGCAGAAATAAACTTGAAAATTGGCCCCAGAAGACCCCCCCAATCACCAGCAACAGAACGACCCTAACCGCTCCCGGTAGTAGACCACGTGGTCCAAAATGGCGGCCTCACGTTGCCCCAGCAACTAGACACGTGGCCACTGCCTCAACCCAAGCAGCCCCCACAGTAAAAGAAAAGGAAAGGCTCACAACAAAGGCAGGGAACCAACAACAGCATTAAGCGCAGCAGAGCGCGGCACAGCCGAAGGGGCAAGCAAAGGTAGAAAACAGCTGGGGGAGGGGGAGCCTATTATCAAGCTGCGAGGGCAATGACGAAGGGAGCAGTTCGGGCAGGGGAAGCTGAGAGGGGGAGTTGGCCAGGAACGGAGAAACCTGGAAGCTTTTTCGCCACGAGGGCGGCAAAGTTGTAAAGTGAGACCTGCAATCGAGGCAGCACTCCCCTCAAATGCCCTGCTCCCGACGCACAGCGCTGGACTCACCCACTGCCAATTGATCGGGGCCTCCTATAAAGGCTTTTTTCCAGCCACCCTGGGTTGAAACAACCGTTCCACATCCCAAGCAAATTCCACAAGAGCGGCTCAACAAAAGCAGTAAAAAAATCCCCCCAAAATGTTTCAGCAGGTCTGGCAAAAGCAATAACTGAGCGAAGTTCAGTGACGTCCTAGTGATTGAGGAAGCGAGCCAAAGAGGAAGCCCTCTGGCTCGCTCCTCTGTTTAAACGGACCCGGCCACGCCCCTGGCCCCTGGGAAGTGGAGCGGATTTCTGAGCCGGACTGGAGACTGGTTTTTTAATTTTTATTTGGTGTGTGTTGAAAGAGGGGCAGTCTTATACGGCGAGTATATTCCAAACTCTATATTTTAACTGGAAAAGTTGGAGGTTGTCTTATACGCTCAATCGTCTTATACGCCGGAAAATATGGTAATTGTATCCTATAGGTGGTAAAACCTTTCAATGCAAGTTTTTGTGTCAGTTGTAAAATTCATCAGTTATTTTTATTCCATGAAATTGGGGGTACTTTTAGGTCTGATTGTATGATGCACTGTAACTCTACATTTTCTCTTGTGCTGTAAAACAGTCTTCCCTCCACTATTCACAATTTTCTTTTTTACCCTTCAGCTATCTTTCTTTAAAAACAGCCTTCATGCCTTTCACAAAGTAGTAAAGCTCTCCTTGCTAATTTTGTTCACCTTCAAAACGTCACAGAACAGCGTGTGTGTTACAAGCCTGCTTAGTTTTTCATAATAAATTCTTTGTTGCTAATCTCTTCCTTTGACATTAGTAGTAATGCGAGTGATATTTGAAGCCTTTTAAAAAGAAATTTTATTATCCCAGTGAGTTGCACAGATCCATATATTCCCTTCCCCCTCCCTTAGGCTTCTGCTGTGAATATTTTAAAAGCAGCATGATTTATACATCTTGGTCTCAAAACAAATGCTGAAATAGCTTTCACCTTGAATCTATTCTCTTTCCTGACACATTTGCTTATGAAAATGAAAGCTTCAGTAATTGCATGTTAACTCATCTTCAGTCAGCACTGTTTGCAATAGTTTGGCATTATTGTTTTACATTTATATGCCACCTTTCCTCCAAGGAATGCAAGCTGGTGTGCATTGTTCTTTTCACCATTTGATCATCAGGCTAAGAGGCAGTGACTGGCTCAAGGTCATCCAATGAGCTTCGTGGCTGAGCAGATTTGAACTCTGGTTTCTCATGTCCTGAGGGACGCGGGTGGCGCTGTGGGTCAAAGCACAGAGCCTAGGACTTGCTGATCAGAAGGTCAGCGGTTCGAATCCCCGCAACGGGGTGAGCTCCCGTTGTTTGGTCCCTGCTCCTGCCAACCTAGCAGTTCGAAAGCACGTCAAAGTGCAAGTAGATAAATAGGTACTGCTCTGGCAGGAAGGTAAACGGCGTTTCCGTGTGCTGCTCTGGTTCGTCAGAAGCAGCTTAGTCATGCTGGCCACATGACCCAGAAGCTGTACGCTGGCTCCCTCGGCCAATAAAGCGAGATGAGCGCCACAACTCCAGAGTCGGTCACGACTGGACCTAATGGTCAGGGGTCCCTTTACCTTTACCTTTTCTCATGTCCTAGTCCAATGCTCATCAGTACATCACATGTTATCTACTTTACGTATCCTCTGCTTTTACACAATTAGTGCTCCAATAGTTCATGAAAACATACAAGGATCAGGAAATTAATAGGTCGGTAACAATTTTTTTAAAAAATGAAATATTATATGGCAAGAGTTTAAACATTTTTACCCTTAATCAGCCAAAGTCACAGCATTTGAACAGAGGCTCAGAAATGCTTGTGTGGGTGCCAATCAGACACTCTGAAGGGAATGTTCTACTACTGGAGTGGTAGATTAACCTAGTGGCATTTGTAATATCCTGAATTTCAAATTCCTTCAAAGTAGCACTTTTCATACTAATAGCCATAGAGCACAGGTGGCCTTGGGTTTTGCCCTTCAAAGTTCATTGCATGCTGTCTCTGCTTTATTGCTTAGCTCGAATAAGTACTCGGAATGAGCCACACTGCAGTGAACATTTTGGCTTAAGCCAAGTAATATGGATCTGTTCCAAGAACTTCACAACTGAGAGTTGATAAACTGCAGAAAGAAAGAAAATGTGCACACATGCACAAGAAAAGGACCGAAGCTGCTTGAACTTTCAAGCTCCAAGCCATGAAGGAATAACTCCTACCAATTTCCCAGAAAGTTGGATTCCTGCGAGTTCAATAAGAAAAAACCACTTTTCAGAAGCAAATCACTTGAGGAAATTTCTTGGCCGTTTTGGAAAGCACTGAAGCATAAAAGCACTTTACCATCCAGTAGGAGTTTTGCAGGGTTGCTGTGCTAGTGATAGAATCTCTACTTGAAGGTTTAGTTCGAATCTCAGGCATGAGATAGCATGTCGTTGAAACTTCAAATTTAAACCTCCAAATTTAATGAATACTAATATCGTTCATAGGTCCCTGCTAGGTCCAGGAGTTCAGAGCACAAGAAATATTTAGCACTGTATGCCAAATGCTGTAACTTACTTCATGGGGGACTACTTTTGAAGGTGGGTTGAAAGCTTCAGTTGTTGCAGAATATAATTGCCAGAACCAAGAGTGGGTTTAAAATATTGCACTGGTTCCTTGTGTGCCACCAGACACAAGTCAAAGAGGTGACTAATGTAGAAAGCCCCAAACGACTTGGGACCCAAATACCTGAAGGAGGACCTCTACCCGTATCAGCTTACCTGAGTTTTAAGAGCAGTAGGACAGTCCTCTTTGTGGTTCCACTGATGTGGCAAGCTTACAGTGTGGTGGCCCAGGATATGAGCATCCCGGTGGTGGTCCCTTGGCTGTGCAATCCCCTCTCCCCTGAGATGCAGCTAGCATTGTCATTGTTGACCTTT